CGTGAATCTTTTGTTGTATGAATATCCACACAGCATCGTTACGGTGACTTTCTAGTCATATCATTTCTTCCTAATTTAAACTGAGTTGAATTGGAAAAGAGAACAGAAAGGTTGATTACTGGTTAACATATTCTAATAACTATAAAAGAAGACTTGATGCTCAACTTATTCAGCAACAATTGTGAATATTATTTTTGAATGGTTAAAGAATTACACGCAACTTATACTTAGTGCTATCTAGCAGATATCATAATGTTCTTATTTTTGTGGGACATATGCACTGTAGGGTGACGGATGCATATTAGTAACTTTGCTTATCAGATGTATCAGCGATATGGTTTAGCCTAAAATGTTCCCGTATTTGTTCACCAATTTGTAGGGACAACGATGCTTTTATTGATTTTCAATTATTAATTCAGAATCGATATATTCCAGTAAACGAAAACGTCCTATAAAAGGAATTGTTTTAAAATCAGTATCGTTTATTACTGTTTTAAAAAAAAAGATTGAATCACATAAGAAAAACGTCCTGAAAGTCCGCGCTGTTTTGCCAAAGAATATTAGGCGGTAGTCAGGCGGTAAGGAAAAGCGAAACCGAAAGAACTCCCTGCCTTGAAAAACCAAGTAGTTCTTACTTGAGTATCAGAAAACAAGAATGTTACTGGTTTGTCTTCTATGCCAGCCGCCATCATAATCCTTTTTAAATCTTCACGCCATTCATTTACACCATAATTTTTAGATAATTCAATTTGAAAGCAATCATATTCTGCCCTAAAAGGAAAATGATACACAGAAAAGGACATTTAGAAGCAACTAGAAAACTCGGTGAATCTATTGCAACCATTTCAATCAATAAGCTTGACAAATAAACGCCTCGTGAAACTCATCACATAACGTGAATTGGCACGTAAGAGAATAATTTTGTGTCCCATTGAAAGTCAGTGTGATAGACCCACATGGCCTTGACTGGAAACGTTTGAACCAATAACGTAAGGGTATAACTAAGTATTTATTAGTCAGGCCTGTTGATTGTACACATTTTGGCTTTGTGACTAACTCACTGACTGTCCAAAAACTCATATACTGTGTACTTTCTGCATAAGGCAGTAAACACATGTTCTATTAACTTTAATTTTACCAAAACCTGAGTTCATTTAAACCTACTTGCTCCACCTTTATTACTTGTTTTAAATATATGTTTCATCCTTTTTTTAATGTACTAGCTAGCTTTATTTCAGCCACCAACTCTGTTTTCTTTTGCGAAACTGTAAGCCCAATCATATTAATTCAAACACTATAGAGTTATCCCCTGGACTAGTGAGTTATGACAACCATACTCTATGTTTAATTTATGAAAGAGTCACAGCCTTCGCATTAGTCTGGACCTGTGAGACACTTTACCAACTACTTTCAAAAACAATGCTAACAAACTATGTTAAGGACAAACTACCAACACTGACTGCATCAAAGTGTGTACTCCAATTTAAGTACTCGTATGGATTTATTTCAGTATACCAAAATCTGAAGACTATCTTAGGACATCCATCAACACACAGTACCTAAGCTTAGGAAACACAAGCTAAACTTACTCCTCGGAATCACGAAATAAAAGCATCGTTTGTAGAATAAGAAGACGTCATTTTATTGAGAAATATTTTCGACAGATCCATAGAATCTGAATAAATAAGTAAATATTCACCATAATGAATACTAACATACCTTATATAGAACGTTTCAAGACGATCAGAAAAACTACAATCCAGAGTACCATAGCGATAAGCGGATAAGGTGAAATTATCGTGATAATAACAGTAATGATAACAATGATTACAATAGTAATAGTAGTCAACACGAATAAGGATGAAGACAAACAAAATATTATGGTATTGCAAAATATTTTCGGGAAGAATGAGAGGGTGAAAAGTCTCTAGTTACCAGAGTAATAGTAGATTGTCAATTGTCTCACATAGCTGAAATTCATCTTGCAGCTTCATTGCCCTCTGACATCACGTCCTTACTAAATCTCTCTTGTCGTTGACTGGGCAGAAAATGCAAACGTAAGATGGTAACCGCAAAATGTGGTCTTGGGGTAAATGCTCCTCTCTGTTGTACATCTCAAAAGTTAATCAAGAAAACTCTTCACATTCCACAGTAAACTTAGTACTGTGGTGCCCACAGATAAAGTGTTGGACTATCTACTTTGCTGATCAGACGTTTTCACACATAGTGAAGATATCGTCACTATATCTTGAGTAAAATATGGTTTTACCGATTGCATATTTCAGCGCTTTGTTTTCTCAGTGTGACATAGTAATCTCCAAGTGGATTTCCAATAATCACACCATCAACTTGTTTATATGTGATGCCGATGAATCAGAAATAAATATCTTTTGAGTACATAAGCACGAAACGCTTCATATCCATTTTTCGTAGTGGGTTATCTTCTTTGTATCGACAAACCATGTCTATTACTTCAAGGGGAGAAATGCCTCACCTTCCTTTATAAAACACGTCTCTAGTTTGACTGAATTTATTACTGAAATCGCTATGGTACTCTGGATTGTAGTTTTTCTGATCGTCTTGAAACGTTCTATATAAGGTATGTTAGTATTCATTATGGTGAATATTTACTTATTTGTTCAGGTTCTGTGGACCTGACAAAAATATTTCTCAATAAAATGACGTCTTCTTATTCTACAAATGATGCTTTCATTTCGTTATTCAAGACCATTAAGGTTACTTACTGCATGAGATGAACCCAATTTGAGTTCAATTTTCTCTTGTGGTTGGGATTGAATACCGCATTAAACCTGATCAGGATTTACCTGTGAGACACGGAATACTAAGAAGTCAACCAAGAAAAATATAGCTACATTTGTCTAAAATCTATTGGATCTGAACATTCACATCTATATGAGTTACCTAAAACTCATAAACCAGACAATCCGCTGCGTCCAGTATTGTCTATGTGTCGATCACCCACACATAATCTAGCTAAATGGTCGGCAAAGCTCTTGAATCCTGTCAGAAGCCATTTATGTAAGTCCTCATTGAAAGATACATTTGACCTTATTGACTGTTTAAGTGATATTAATAATAAGGATAAGACTATGTACTCGTTCGATGTAAATTATTTATTTACTACTGTGCCACCAGTAAAAACAACTCATGTTTTATGTGACTATATTTCTTCTAACAGTCTTATATTCCATATCCCTCTTAATTTTTAAAACATTCGTTATTATTACTATCGTGCACTGACAAAGTTGAATTCACATTCAAGGGTGAACACTTTCAGCAGATTGATAGTGCTGAGATGGGTAGTCCATTAGGACCGTTACCAGCCTATGTATACATGTTAAATATTGAAAACATGGTTGACGATCTCATCGGAAGGGTTTCACTTTATAAGAGATATGTCGATGATATAGTCATTATATGTGAAAAGTCTGACGATATGATGTACCTGCTAGAGTAAATGAACAAGAGACGAACAACCAGCTACCGTTCTTGGACAAAATGCTTAATCGACGGGAGGATAGCTCGATCAGGAGGTAGATCTATAAGAAGCCTACATGGAAAGGGCAATATCTTAATTTCCACAAGTATTGCTCAGTCCAATATAAACACGGTTTAGTTGACTGCTTGTTTAGCAGAATAAATCGCATTTACACCGATGATACGAAGAAGGAAGAAACCAACTTACTGGCGACTACACTGATACAGAATAGCTACCCCCTGAAATGTATTGATAGGTGCAAAAATTAAGTTGCATTGAAAAGTATGCAGTGTTCTGTTGTTAAGAAAAATGTCCACATCTCATTACTATTTACAGATAATTCACATAGCTTTGTTGTGAAGAAAAGGCTTAGATCAGCCATATGTAAAACATTATGCAGACAAGATCATCATTGTACAGATGAAGTCCATGTTACAGAACAAACCAAAACAACATATAAACAACTGCATCACATCCCACTGTACTTATCAATTTACGTGTATGTGTGGACACATAAATAGGGAGGAGTAATCTTGAAATACAGTTAAGGATGGTTGAACATGTACCTAAGTGACTTCAAAAACAAATGACCTCAACAAATCCGATAAGTGCAGGTGACAAACATCCATCAAAACACATACTAGATACTAACCACAGAGTAAGCATGAAAACAGTTCTTAAAGTACTACATAAAAGTGGTCAGGGCCGAGTGCTTAAATTTATTGAAGCTCTTGCCATCCGTAAATTCAAACCCCCTTCATGTATACAAAAACAATTTGAACTCATGTTGAACCTACCTTGCGAGTATTGATTTTAGTTTTCATAATGTGATTAAGATTTTTTTGTCTCTGCCCTTCCTATTCCGTTTCCTATTGACTTCATTGACCCTTTTCGTAAATTTTCATATGAAGTATTATTACCAAAGTGCGGCTATCTCAGAAGTCAAATGATAATTATTGGTTGTATTATGCCGTCGTTGATTGGACCGAATTGATAGGCCTCTATTGGAATATGGGCTCCTCAGCGGATGTCTTGATACTGCCTGTGTTTTTAGTCATATAGTAATAATAGATAGCGGCTGACAGTGGAACCCAGGATGCGCATTTCTTCCTATTTGGAACTCGTCAACCGGATTTACCTGCCACCCAGTGAGTGATGTTGTTTCCACTGGAATTCCGTAAAACCAACGACGGTATAATGCAAGTAATAACACTGAAACTATACCCGTCACACAAGAAGTGGGTATCGTGGCTCGGTGGTCTGGTGGATAACGCTCTGGCGTTTGAAGCGATCAGTTCCAAGTTTAAATCCCGGTGGGAACAACATCACTCACCGGGAGACAGGTAAATAGGACGAAATGCGCATCTGGGTTCCACTGCAAGCCACTATCCATCATTATTTCATATAAATAGTTTGACAAGTGCCTGTGTGATTAGGTTATTTGAAGTGTATAGCACTAATACACCACATGTTTCAGATAATCCTTGTCTTCTCATTACGCTGTTTACACTTATTATGCTTAGTTAGATCTGTTGGAATCCACAGGAGAAAGCCTAATTTTTGCATTTAAAAGAAAAATACCCAGTATCTCTGTTTGGTTTGATCCAGTATAAAGAAAACTGACGCATAGCCATTATATATTCGTACCACAACGCTGCCTTCCTACCAGTTTTTATCCTCATCGAGTTTTATAACAATTAATTTATATGTATGCACTATTATTATAGTTAAAGGGACTAAGTATTATAAGTAAATTTGAACCGAGTACCCAGTGCGTAAAGAAACGGTTAATCGATTTGAAAATGCACGGAATTCTATTTGTGTAGATAAGTGTTGTTATGCTTAATGGCCATTAATCAATTTGTCAGCCACAATGTGAACTGTATTTATTTCATACTCAGAGGTATTAAGACTGAGTTACACCGACAACCGACAAAAAAATTTTGAACTAAGTAGTAAAAAAATGAATTTGTTATTAATCTGAAAGACACTAAACCACTTTAGACCTTCATAAAAGGTGGCTTTCTTCCTGAATTCATATAAATGAAAAAACCGTCAATCGAAGGTATATAAAACAGTCCGATAATCACGTTGTGGTATTCCATCTTAACCTCTTTGAAACTTAACCTTTCAAAGGTAAAAAGGTCCATAATGCACAAAAGATTACATCAGATTTCCTAAAATTGCATTGTGGGAGAATTTTATTAAGAACAATATCAACCAGATATATTTACTATGATCCACTAACGAAAAACTTGTTTTATTATGTTTAAAATCATTACGAATTGGATGCTATTTCATGTACTAGGCTGAGAAAAATAGCCGTTTTTGATTAGCATAGAACTTATAAGACTGTTTGAAACTCAGTAAATCAAGCTGAAGTTGAGATTCTCTAGGTGAAATTCAGCTTACGTAGACATTGAAGCATAAGCAACAAAATGTGAGATATCAAGGTAAACTCACATGTGTGACGCAAGACGCGTTAAACACTGACGCCCATTACCACCCATACCAAGAAGTAAGGCATTCCCTTGTGGTTGTCGTAAAATACGAGCAATACGACAGATATGTTGTACTGCATATTTGAATAATATCAAATCCATTTTTGCTGTGTTAATTTGATTATAATCATCAAGACTTTCTTCGATCACTTGTAATACCTAAAATGTTTAAAAATATGGAATTATTATTAAAGTGCTAAGTACGAAATATTAAGTTCCAATTAAATTGTCTTCATAAAACGTAGTTCGGAGAACAATATACAGCTACACGGGAAATATGCACGTACACTAATAAGCAGATTTCGCTGGACATACCAAAGTGATATAAACGATAGCTAGTAAGGATTAAGAAATTCGGTTGGGAAAAGCATTGAGAAGAAAACTGACTATTGAAATTTTGTACTAGTTAATAATTAATACTAAGAGGCATGAGTAACTTCAAGATAGCCAGTATTTTTAAAATAACGGAAAATACACCAGATGACGCATCAGAGACAAAGATTGAAATTGAAATATTCATGCAGCAAAGGAAAAATTAAACGTGATAATGAGCATTTATCAACCATTTGTGCCACATTCCCTTTTCCTCAGTCACGGTTGAATTCTATACATCAGTTTTACAGTACTCTCACAAGGTCATGGAACATGTTACTGAGGTTACAGAATCTCTGTGCTTAAAGAAGCCAACAAGTATGAAAACTAGTTTCTTAGATTATCATTACCAATTTTAAACTCAATAAAAGCTAACACGATATCTCTTTAATTTATCTTGATACTCGGACAAAAGAAGGCAAAGTTGGTCATTTTTCAGTTACTGAAAAGAGAAAAAGGAGAATTTAGACAGTCATGTTTACAAAATTTTTTTATTGTTTCAAAGAACTATTCGAAGGACAACTAATGCATCATGTTGGTTTATAGAAATGTCTAAAAGTAGATATCTTATTGGTTCTCATTAATGTCTAGTTATCCGAAAGACATAGTTGTTTCATGTATGTGTATCATTGGTTTTCATAACTTAAATGGTCTAGTTAACTATTTGTACCTTTTTGCAAGTTTCAGCCTTAAGAGTCATGCATATGCACGCGTTAATTATAAGTCAGTAAATTGTCAGATAAAACTTTGAAAATACATTTCTTGCTTTAGCTGAATAAGTGACTTTACACTTCCGAAAAATTGAGGTCAAGCAATAACCAAGATGCACTGTCAACAAAGGTTCATGCAAATATAAGCTAACATATAAACAATTTTATGTGAACTTCGGTTAAATCAACACATGTAGATTATGACACAAATTATCAAAATAATTTATACCGTTATTAGAAGAAAAAAGAGGAAAAATCAACAACTTACTTGTGCATGATCAGTCATTTCTTTATACCTCCAACCACTGTTTCCAGCTGCAGACAAAAAGTCGCCATACAGTAGTGGTGTGGTATTTACATAATCGTTGACATTTAAATTAAATATTTCTTTTGACTTGTTATCAATCAAATTACTGAACCAACCGCGGTCCTTATCATCAACTAATCTATCTTGAAATACACGACACGATTCGTGATACCATAAACGTAATAATTGTTCCAGACTTCCAGTCAAACTATCAGGTCCCATCATTAGCATACCTTGAAATACTTTGGATAAATCTCGTAAATTAAATGTATAATGACTTTTAGCTGGTGTAGGCAACAGTTGTGTTTGAATTGTCTTGTAGACTAGAATAGCAGCCCTAACTAGATCATCAGCATAGGCCAAAAGTTTAGCTGCTGGCTTGTCTCCGCCTAAGGGACTAAGCCATGATTTGAGTATTGCGCCAAATATTAACTGCATACTGGATTCATCTAATTCATCATAAGCTAAAAAGTTGAAATGACGCATCAGTCTGGCTGTGACTGGGTTACGTCCTCCACCTGGTGGACCCATGGCACAAATGAAATTGACATCAACTAATTTACGGAATTCACCAACCACTTTGAGATCATACCAGCCGTCAAAATCCATCCATTGACGTAATAATTCAATTGGGGGTTGTGCACCGTAGACTTCTAAAGCTGGCATATTTAAATCATCAATGAAAAAGATTATATAACGTCCCATTGGTGGACCATAAACATGCTTACGTCGTTTATCTAATTTATTGTCGATTAAATCTTGTGTTTGTCTTGCTGTTGTCTTCGCACTGAATATGATAAATTCTGGTATATACTCTTTTGGCATATGACGAGTTAACTTATATAAAATTGTCATTGATTTACCAGTTCCAGTTGGACCAATACACAAGACTGGCTTTTTAGCTACTAATAACATCTCAATAATATGACTTGATCTGACATTATCTATTGTTGGAATGATAATATCAGAATAACGAATTTCTGGTCCAATTGTAAATTCTGGCATATTTGCCATCCAGTGTACCCAGTGCATCTAAAAATCATAATAAAAAAAAGTGTTAATTTATTAGTTTGAGAAAAATAAATGGATGAACAACCGGGTGTTTCATAACTATTATTAGACGAGTCATCGAAATAAGGATGGACTAAGAAAACCAGTTTATAGCTTCTTGGGATGTAGCACATACATGAGTGAACAGTTGAAAACAACCAGGAAAGAGTTGTCTATTTTTAAAAATAGTCTTCACTAGTCCAATAAACGCACAGACAGCACGAAATACAACTGAATTCTAGCTGAGAGTGCAAGATACATTTAATTACAGTACACGAAGAGAAGTATGTTAAGGTCATCAGCCTCTGTAGTTAACATCAGTTATTATTATTAATATTATCATTATCAAGTCTCTTGAGGTTCGTTATAAAAACACTTCAAAGCGTTACCAAACACGATTTTCTTATTCCATTATCTAAACGAATCCTCTTATTTTATTTATTAAGTGCATTAAGTGAGAAGGGAATTTTTAAAAATAATTTTTTGATGTTAGTAGAAGGGAAATCAATATTTCACTTTAATAGTTTCTGAAGTAGTAATTTTTATACTTTACAGTTAGATTTCTCTACTTTGACTGAGAAAGTAGTTGTTTTCGCAAAATAACAAATAAGAAAGAACAAATAGAAAGGCAATTAACAGATACTCTTTGAAAACCAATAACCAAATCTTTTATAAATTCCTGCGAGCATCTACTTCACAGACTCACCAACTGTACGGAATGTCAAAGACGCACAAAAAGAGTTAACCCCTATGCACTATTCTAAGTATGACAAGTTCACCCTTATGGTAAATCAAACCTTTGAAGTCCGTCAAAATTAAAATTCCACTTCATGATTGTTTTGCTTTTTTCAAGTTTTTTGGTAATATTAAATGCTTCGGCAAGATTATATTCTCTCTCGATATTGCATCATTGCTTCCGATTGTTCAGTTGACTGAGATATGTCACATATGTGACTATATCGATTCTAATGGATTAGATGTTGGTACATCCACGCATAATTTAAGTGATTTCTTATTGGTTATACATATTTAACATATACTTTCCTTTCAAAATGAAATATGTAGGCAAAATATAGCATAACTATAGGTTCACCGTTAAGCCCTCTGCAGAAATCTGCATGTCGAAGCTTAAAAACATATACGCAAGAATAATGATCGACCGATTTGAATTATATGTCCAATGAAACAGATATTTTAGGAAGTGTTCAATGTCACTTTATCAACTGTGATCCTCCGGTCAGGTTGGCATTAGAGACGAAAGGAACTTTATTTAGATCTACAGCTAAAAATAAGAAACAAAGGAACTATGAAAAAGTCTGTCCACAGAAACCAAATGAAACAAACAGCTTACTGGTTTTATAGCTGCGTACTTATAAACGTAAAACGAAATCTGATTTGATCCTCATATCATGGAACCCATAACATTTTTGCTAGTGACACTTTACAAAGCAAACTGAATTTTGTGAAATATGTTTATATGATGACTGAATCTGAGTTAATGCATTTCTATGGAATACCTTGTTTCTTTTTCGTGTCATTAATTATCGTGGCTACAAGTATACAAAATAAGTATTCATGTCTAATCTTTGGTTAAGCTGTTTCGTTTCCAGTATGTTACGGACACGGCTAGGTTGACTGTAGTAGTTTTATGTAGTTTCTTCCTCTAATGAAGCAGAATGACACTAGTGACAGGTTTGTGAACTCTTTTCAAGTCAAATTTGTACAAACTCACGTGTACCTAAGGATGAAATCTTCTGATTACAGTCTATATAACTGGTCATACAGGAGCAGTTGATTTGATTTACTCACACTGAACCAGTTATCACCTGTAATTTATTTTTTTACCGCATTGATTCAGTACTGAGGTGGTTGTAAAATTAGTTTACTGTTTAGTCAATTCAATGGTCACCATTCATGCCTACATAAAGCTTGTTCCACTTTTTTATTTTGGACACATGACAGTCCATTCTTTGGATAATAACTCTTCCGATGCAGTCTGCATGTATCTGTGCTCTAATTTTTCTCACACACACTTGAATACAGATATACAGTAACTTTCGGTCGTATAGACTTATATAACCCGTGACTATCTATTATAATTTTATTTAAACCGTAGTCAATATCAATCCGAGAATTATCTCATTTTAATTCTATCTACTCATTACGCTAACTGTCTCGATTATGATTTGCTTATGTTTATCGTCAGCTATTACATCATGACATTTATGGACTAATAACTGCGGGGTCTGAGGAGAAATTTCGAATGTTTAATTGGAGTATTCAAGTTGGCAGTTGAGTTATTTCCTTTGTTAGTTTACTATGATATGAATCTCAAACCAACATTTTAATGATAAACTCTACATCATCTGAGAAGAGTGACTCTATAGACCGCCTAGGCAATCAAAGATTGACCAACTGGGTTACTTTATTTTATGAAAAATCTACCTAACCAGTCGAAATCAAGAAGCCTACTTGGTTATTTCACCAGTTGCTATGCTATCCTTCAGAATCACTTTCAAATAATACCAAGTTTTAAGAACGACTAATCAATTTGACGGTTGTTAGAACATGAAGGTTGGTAACTTGCAGCAAATTCATTAGCTTTACTTCTTCAGGAAGCTTGCTGTGAAATGCTTTCCGTTGTGGGAGTTAAACTTTGATTACCAAGCCATAGGAATACAACGGACACCGAATTACCTGAATCTAAAACTCAAATGTTTGAAAACAACTAAGAACTGGCATTTTTTTAAAATTCAGTCAAAAACCTGTTTAGTTAACTGAATAAAATTATACCAATTCTTACCTTTCGATTAGCAAAATTATCTTCATCGTCATCATCTCTTACATTAAGTGACACGAGGCCATCATCTTCAAAACGATAATCGTAAACTAATCCTTCTTCAGGAAATGGTAAATAACACTATTCAGTAGCGAAAAAAGGTGAATGAATAACTTTATAACAACATTCAGCATTCATCTGTACAGTAATTGTTAACTTCAAAATAAATTTCAGTGAAAGACTTTCAGAGGTTTCGGTCACCTGGTCCCACACACTTGATAATAATGTTGAGGATATCCTAGGTGGTAATCGATCAATATGAATTTCATTAGTTATCATGGTAACGTATTCTATGCATGTTTAAACCGCTCGGGAAAATGATGAGGGAAAATATTTGCAAGAATAAGAGCTTAGCTTTCACCAAAAATCTCGAAGTAATTTTCCTCTAGTACTTACTCTAAAACGAATTAGGAATGGATGTAAATCGTTGTAATCTGTGTGGCATGTTCTTACGAAGTATTTGTGTTATAGAAATGATGATAAAATCTGAGACAGTGTAAGCTAGTCATTAAAGTACGAAATGAACTTTTGATAGGATAAATATGTTACCTCAGACTGTTATCTCTCCACTTCTCTTTAGTTTTCCATACATTTACCGTCGGATAAATCAGTGAAATAGTTAACAAATCACTGAAGTCATTGGGTTTGCTGCGTAAACAGGAATAACTTTTAGATCCACCCTAATTACGTTTCTAAATTATGTGAATATACTACTTTTCTATTCCGAATAAAGAAGCTTAACTGATTATCTCAGTCACTCGTAAATAACCAAGGTACACGTCATTGCAACGATCAACACGATGAATAGACCAATCATATTCACACCATCTACCACGGTATTAACATAGTCGCAGGTTATTTCTGAATCAAACAGATTTTAACTGCGGCGAGTTGGATTGTGATGCAAGTCAATTACATGAGAAAACACTTCTAAGGTTATCTGAATTCTGTTTTTCAAGTGACAAGATGCTTCAAAGTGTTAATGCATTATAAGTTTTAAATGAAAATAGTGCGAAGGGCCGATGTGAAATTCAAGTTCCTACTAATCTTAAGTTATCAGCGGTTCACTACGAGTACGAATATCCACGGTCAAATAAGGCAGTCTTGGCGAACTCTCTACCCGTATAATTAAATATTAAAACAGTGAAAATGTAACTAGGTAACCTTGAGATCTTTCATCTTCTGTCTTAAAAATTGATCAAATTTTACACGTCCTTCATTAGTGCAAGTGGCTCCAATAGACCATATCAGGGAGAAAATAAACCAACTTTCTATTGCTTGACCGATACGATTGAGAATATCTTCACCGATACCCTTCTGATTCCAAGAAAGAAATGGAAAGGCAAATAGAAAATAAAAAACTTTCATTAAGGTTTTTATAAGATTCAGATTTAATTGCTTCTTATTGCAGATTCTTCGTTAGAAATTCGGTGACTGCGTCAAAAAACCCGAAAGGTAAAGTGGGAGACTCATAGTTAGTTAGTGCATTGAAAAATAGTAATTCACAGTTGAATGCATGTAAGAACACAAAAAATGACTTGTGAGGTTTTCTTCAATGTTCTAATCATGGTTTACCTGCATAGTTCGCTTATTCAATTAACGCCCTTAGTGCGTTTTGATCACAGATTCACAGTCAACCCACTGAAAATTCGTTTATTCTTTTTTGGACCTTACTATCTGCACACCTTCCAAACTCGTATCAGTAATCCACTTCATGACCTACTTACAGGTTTAAACATTTCAGTCATCTGGGTACTTTTCTAACTACGGGATTTAGATTTAATTTTGGTTGTGCTTACGACATCTAGCTTTGGCAGTGTTATCGATTTTTCTTAGTTTTTGCAGTTAGCTGTTATTCCTAATCTTTTCTTATGGAAGTATCCGGATGCTAGAGCATTCATCGGCTTGGTTGGAAGAGGATCAAGTGGACGTGGTGAAAGGTCCCATTCTAGTGCACCTAGTAGACAACACAGGGCATTTTATAGATGCTAATAAGGCTTTCAGTGTCATACATCGCATTCCAAAAACAATACCACGTGTAGGGCTCCAACGTCTACTCTTACATAAGTGCTTCAGTTAAGTGTCGTTGAGGTATTACTTAATTATATTTGTACTGATAGTAATGCTTTAGGACAGACTTGAGTACTGTTCTATTGGTCTTTTGGAATTTACGCACGTCCCTATATTAGTCTGGTATGTCAGATAGTTGACAGGAGAAATTAAAACGAAAATGATTTCCTTAGATAAATGACACCAGAAAGAAGATGAAAACCATACTTAAGGAAATAAATACTATGAAGCTATGTCAGGTGGTCCATCAAAAAAATACCAATCAAAATGAACTACCTTCAAGAGCACGCGATAACCCTAACTGGACAAAGTAAAAAGGGATTCAGCAAGAAGCATCGAAAAAACGATGTGAAGCAAGACGAAAGTAAAGGGACACATTGAAGGGGGAGAGTAAAAAATACACTAGGATTACCCACAATGTTTGTACCAACAAAGCATTAATGCCTGAAAGATAACTAACGCTACGCACTAATAATCCACTATATAGCTTATGGATGCAGGAAGGAAATACAGTTGCAGCACAGCACGAGATCACATGCTAAGATTGGAATGCGAAAGGACTCGACGAATATATATACATATATATGCCAAATGCCAGTTTGGTTTCTTGAAGAAGTGTCTCCGACCGAATATTTAGGGCTTGGAGCAGTAAGCAGATTTTTATTGCCAGCATGATCTGTAAGTCCTCTTTATTATGCTATGACTTTATTAAGTATCATTTAATTTTCTAATTTGCCTCTAACTCGAGCTGAACAGATAGTCATGGTTGTACACAATTGTAACTTCTTGCATAGATAGATGGTTTATCCATAGATTAGTTGCAAGATTTGACCTCTCAACTTCAAATTTAAATGAGGACGATAATTCAGTCATTTGGGAATGATAAATCAGCAGGAAACAAACAAGGGAACAATATACAGATCTTTGATTCAATTACGCTTCAAAACTATAAGACGTATTCTAAAATAAATAAAAAAGTCCGGCAATTTCTACTTGTTTGAGGTTCAGGTTTCTTTTTCTGATAGCTAAAACACTAGAAAATGAAATTTATGCGTCAGTCGTGAATCAACGGTGTGTTGAATGCGATTCTGTGAAAGGAGGTTTAAGTAAGGCATAGTTGTGACGATTTTTTGGCATTGTCAAAGCAAATAGAAAAAAAATATGCAAAAGGTTGCTTATTATTAGTAAGCAGTATGAAACTAAAACCATAAAATGGAACGACGGAGGAATGGAGCCATGAAATAAAGTTAAAAACTAATTTGTAGAAGTGAGTTTCTTTTTATCAGCAGATGATTTGTACAGAAATTTAATGAGCAAAGCATAAATAAACTTCATAAAATAGCTGTGTTCATTAGAAAACTCAGACACTGTAGTCAAAGCCCAAATCGAAGATCATTCTTGAAACATTTAACTTGTGAACTACCTAATGTACAACCGAAAAAATTGTTTTCGGCTTTTACAGAATACATTGAGGTTGTTATGATTGACTTCTTGTTTTTATCTAGTCTATACCGCCTAAATCATCATCTTTTGTGAGCATTACTGTAGCTAAATAAATTAGGAGTCACATCAGTTACTTCCATTGAAACACTAGTTGTAGGTACCTAATACAGGTACGTGCCAGAAAGAATAAGGAACTCTGACTGGTGACGAACCAACCAAGAACCTATTGCCCAACAAATATGCAGAAGAAAGTGGAGATGGATTTGGCACACACTGAGAAGGCCGACTGGGGACACCACGCGCCAGGCCAGGTCCTCGAGTGGATTCCAAAGGGGAAACGGTGAGTTGGGCGTCCGAGGTGAGGGTGACATGGAGGAGACCATGTGAGGAAGAAATGAAAGCTTCTGGGCAGTCGTGAAGCGATGTTCAAAAGACTGCAGAGAACAAAGTGCAATGGAGGCGTGCTACTGAATCCCTATGTTCCACTAAGAACCCAAGGAAAATAATACTAATAATATAGATACATTGTGCTGTCCAGGCTTTTATATCGTATTAATGTCAAACCTATTCGTGCTTTTCGTCGACTAAAAACACTTGACTCACAAAGATTTCTCACATTCTCACGAGATAAATACTAAGGGAAGAACTGTCACAATCGATCAAAGCATTCATTCATAAATACGCTTAAATGGGAGTTTCCTGTTCGATACCACCAATAACTATAGTAAAGATTAATGATTTCACGGATGAGTTACATTTTTAAAAAATAAGCGGATACTTAAACCCTTGAGCCAATTAAATACAACTCTGCACTGGATAAGTGGATTGGAAGGTAATGAACAAGTAATACCACTTATGAGTATTGTTTGCATAACACTGAAATTCGAGATGTACTAACGAGTAACAAACATTTTTTTTTGAACAAAATTAATATTTTTAAATCAATAATCAAAGGAAGAGAGTAGTTTCTGAATCAAAACGCAACGAAAACATAGACAATAAACAATTTGTGTGAACTTTATACCTCTTTCGGACCTCCTTGTAATGGACGTAAAGGCGCTTTTAAATTTTTAGCTTTATTAATCTAACAAACGTAATTGTAAAAATGTGTCACAGTACAAACTATAACAAAAAGGTGATATATTTATGACCGAATAGAAAGCAAAAAATTTATCATTGGTATTAGATTTTCCCAAGTTGATCGACAGGAAACTCTGAACTTATGTTTCGTGCTTGTTAGCACTCATCGGTGGAGAAAAGTCATAAAATTGCTATTATTGTATAGAATGATGCCATTTAGTGTTATTGAAAGCTGTTGCAACAGGAAACTAACAAAAATTTTACATTTGTTTCATTCTCGTTGAGACTCTTTAGTATGGCAGTTTTTGAGTGCCAGATGATAGAAATTACTATTAAGCCAACAGGTTGGAATCTGATGAGTAGCATTTTGATAATTTCAGTTGATTTTTAGTGCTTTATTGATATATTCATTCCTAATTCAATTACAATAATCAAGATGGAGGGTGGATCAAGTTTATACGCATATAAAAGACGTTCCATATTGTCATGACAAATATTTGATGTTTGGGTGAATGTGTCAAAACTATTTGGATTATCGCTCATAGCTACTTCCTAATTATTGCTGAATTCTAAGAAATGATCCCAAAGTCATGGATTCATCCACATATTATCTGGATCTTAATCATTATATCCTATTGTTTGTTGTGTCCCCTCTCATTGTCATATAAGTTTTTACAAATGTTAATGATATTTTCCCCTAACTCTCTTCTTGGTATCTTGCAACTTGATGTGCTAACGCGGAGTGTGGTAATTTCAGTTGTTTTTGACTACTGTCAGGCCGAATGTTAACTTTGGCTGACTGACTGCATGACCTCATTTTAGTTGGAAATGTTTCCTACTGATGGTTTAAGTTTTGGTTTCCAAGTAGTTTTTCTGAGATGGTTTTAGTATTTGGAACAATCGTCTCACCTATAAACCTACTATATCTTTTTGTCATCTAAACTGAATTTTACCTGTTTATACTTACATTTTAAGAATGGAGAAAACCTTTGAATTCGAATGTGAAGGACTCTATGAAAAGCACACACAAACACACCACACGTTTTCCAGCATTACGTGAACAATACAAACAAATAATATTATATACAGATGACACAATGTTTATCATTACAAGTTAAAATAAAACTGTAGATAACTGGAGGCAATTAGCAAGAAGTTCCGGATCCCAGCTTCATGTTTGTTGGTGCTAGTCAGCATGACATATCTACAACGTACAGAAAACTGGTACCACTTCAAAAAGTCAAATCTGCCTCACCCATCGCTCCACTTATAGACCTTACGCTGAGGTGTTCATGAGGTAATATTTCTCTTGTAGGACTAGACTACGCATAACAACTGGTCACTGGAGAGGGATCAATATCATGTATAAAATTCACTTACTTAATCCCTTGTAAAACAATGTTCACAGTATACACAAGACGAACTATAACGTGCACTAATACTGAGTTTATTGAACAGACAACCGTTAATTAACGTCAATATTTTACGGTGTTTTAAAAACCACTAGAAGTATGATATTTTCTGATTTTAAACCCGAAGATAATAGGTACATATACCACTTTTTCGAACAATCACTTCAACGTTTTGACTGAATCTACTTCTTTTTAATTCCGTGATAGGACTTAACTCATTTTAAGAGTCGAGCAAATTCAGTAGCAGTTTGCATGTGCTGTGTTGACACGATTGGTGTGAAGTCGGTATTCATAAACCTCCATCAAATGAATCGGTGTTACAAAAATGAAACGCAGGTTATCTGCTCCTTTCTGTTTTACTGCTGAACCGACGATATTCTTGATCGGCTTTTAGGGTCGTAATGAACACTTCAAAGTCTTGTGCAGAATGTTTGCGAACTCAAGTTCTGTTAAGAAGTTTAATATCACAACAAACTAATTATTCCGTGTGATATGAAATGATTGGTAAATTGATGTTAGTACATAATAGACACTGCGTTCAAACGAAGCAGTAGCAATTTCAACAACCATTGACTTTGGATGAGTCTGTCTGTTAGTGAATACGGCCAGTTTCTGATCATTGAATGCATCTGTTATAACAACCATTCAACATTTTATTTAACTGTAACACGAAACATGCCTTACCTGTTGTTTTCTGGATCTTGTCATAGGTGTCTTAAAGGAAAATAATAATTGAAATACTTTAAATGTATACATACAGCAATGTCCAAATTTAAAGTCACTACCTTTCAGGCTCAAATGAGTTTTGATTTGATTAAAAACTTTAATAAAGGCCATTTCACCTTGAATCAGATGATCGATGAAAACTGTTTAGAAAAACATTTTTGTATGCATTAAAGAGAGTAGCTGTTAACTTCTAAGATATTTTACTTCTTTCATATTCCTTCAAAGGAAATTTATTGCAAATTTCTTGTGGTTAGTTCAATATATCCCTCGATTTTTCTAGTGCTTCTATAATAAATGATAAATGACACTAATTACAAGTGTAAAAATCTACATAATAACCCATTGTACAACTAGGTACGGTAGGTCACCGAGACTTTTATTTCTCCATGAAATCTTATCAAACAGTTCTAAAATTTCACGGTATTAAAATGGATAAGCTCTTTTATAAAACTAAGAGCAAAATATGAAACTGAAATTAAGGCGGAGTGTAACAATAATGATAATGAAAATATTAGAAAACAAAGGTCACATTCACACGTATTTAGGTAACCGGAGAGGAAATTTTTGTAATTCTGTGAGGGTTGAGTTAGATGGCCATTAAAGCAACCAAAAAAACTGTTTACGTGATTTAGATTTGAAAATTTTAAGAAATATGGTCTCTACTAGGCTTAGTAATCAGAGCACAGACCAGTGGCACTTTGTATTGAATGGTCAATATCCGTAGGTGGTTGGGTAATGAGTTTTTAAGTGAATTTACTGTCCCACTATTTAACCACGCTGGGGGAGTGTTCAATAAACTGATAATGGGCCTAGAGTCGTTTTAATCATGCAATTATGATAAAACGACCGGTTAAATTTGTAAATACACATGGATCATGCAGCACATAGTAAATTTCTGCCATTTATCTAAGTTTTATTGTCAATGTTACTATAGCTTCACGTCTTTTGAAGGCTGTAGTTAGAGACAATTGTTTCTTCATCGCTAATCTGGAGGCACTTTTTTAATTGTAGGTGTACAAAGAAATAGAGAGTGACTCTAAAGATCCCCCTAACAACTACTGAATTGTGAGGACCTACATTTAGAAAGAAAACTGACTTCGTATCGATGGCTCAAATGGCCAATTATTGACGTTAATTATAGATAATAAGGGGAAGAAAAAGATAGTTTAAGTTGCAATAACAGTCATAATGATAATAAAATGAGAAGACGTGGATTATCTGAAAATGTTTCGAACAACCTGATTGCATAAGAACTTGGTGAATAATTCTCATGAAAACTGAGAAAGCTTAATTAAGCCAATGGAATTGTAATTAAGATAATAAAAGCAGAATGAAAATGGGAAAAGAGAAGTCAGCTCCCACCTCCAATAGTATTAAAAGTTTAAAGGAGTACAACCAGAGTAGGTTTAGTTTAAATATTGATTGCTTTTGAATAAATAAAGGAGGTTCAACTTCATGGATAGTAAGGGGTTTGATAAATCGAAGTATTCGTCCTTGACTACATATAATATGTTAATGGCTATCTGCATATCAATCCAATGACCGGTTTCCAATATGATGGATGAGGAAAGACTTAAGTCACCTGCATTTATCAAACTATTAGAGTTCATTTATTTCTGGAGCCTTTACGTATACGTTCAACTATTTTTAACTGCGTGTCGCGATTGCTCTGTCCTTTGTCTTTGCTTCAGTTTTGGTCAATAAGAAATAGAAAGTGCGACTCTTACATTCACCTTCAACACCAATTTCAACTTCATTATCTCTGTAAAAGTAACAACTCAATCTGGGTTGGTCTAACGAATTATTATTATCGTCACCACCATAATTACTAACATTCATTTCCGCTATGTTCCGACAAATCAATGAAAAATGGGTTAATACTATTCACCCCCAATATACTAACCGAATTGATATACATATTCCCCTCGAATGCTCTACTGAACTTATAAAACTACCGTATAACCACAACGTCAACTGAGACTGTTTTCCTAGTATGCATGAAAAACAACAACCATACAGACGCTGTATGCGATTCTAAATGTGATAAAGTGAGTAACTTCGGATCAGGGGAATTACTTGTTAGTATGCCAGTAGTTTAGTTTATCTCATTGTATAATTTCAAACAAAAGGATTTATTAATGTCTAATTTGTGGTTATTATATTTTCTTACTGAAAATGACTTAAAAGTAATGAAAGTCTTTAACAGTTCAGAGGTCGGTCTTATGAGGATATTCACAAGCTTGGCTACAGAGACTCTTGAGTAGTAAGATGTTGTCTTCAAATAGTAACTTATTCTGATTGTGTCTATTTATCAAAGTTTTTAAATCAGAGAATCATAAAATATAAAAATGAAGTATGTCAATCAGTTACTACACTAGATATCTTGATTGACGGCTAAAAATTATCAAGATCTTTTGCTTTTATTTCAAAAATGTCATGATCACAAAACTCCGTTGCTATTTGGTTAAATGAAAATAATTAGTGTGCTGAACGACTGTTGAAAAGTTCGTGCAGTAGGCAATAAATCACACCTATTATGTGGGAGCTAATGATACTAACCAGTTGCACAAATATAGGCAGATAAAACATAGTTCGAACCAGTGATCAACCGTTTTACAATTGAGTGCCTAAACCAAGGAGCCAGAGCAAGAAACTGTCAAACAGTCGCCAATGGGAAATGGAACATGTGCTACAATTTACTCCTTATGAGCTTCCGGAGCATTAGCTTCACATGAAGTTATAGATTCAAGCTGATTACGTCTTCCATACTACAATTTTTCAGGATATCACTTCTAGTTGGTTAGTAACCTATTTAGTTGGCTGGTTTGTATGGAATAGACTTATTTACCGACAGCTTTCATGAAGGTTAGAAAATAAATAAGACTAGAAAAGACTGGAAAACTGCTTTCTTCTAGTGTAACAGTCCAGAACACCGTGAATACATGAATGACTACGAAACACAATGAAATTTAGGACAACCAGTTCTCGCTGTTTAGTAGATCGTCATTCTGTCACTAGGCTATGACGCAGTGCTCCATATTTATTTAATATGATAATGATTATCGAACTCTCAGGTCACAAACTCCCGCAAAAGCTTAGGGAGAGGAATCTATAAGATGGTCATTACCATTCAACATGAAAACAAATATACATTGATCAGCAAACTGACCAACTAACCTCCTTAGGTTGATACTGCATGAAGAAACAATCCATCATTTTCATCAAACCAAAACACAGTTGTCCATCTGTTGTTGCAATGATTTCTTTAGTCTCATTTCGAATGAAACTAATAGAGTCCTGAAAATATTAATCAACAAAAACTTTAATAAAAAAGACATCAGAGTCCACTATCGTTTTTCTTAACTTGCTGTCGTTTAACAATATTTTGATAGACTATAATAAAAATAAACTGGACAGATAGAAGTACCCTAAATGAAGTTATCGATTGCCGGAAAGAATCCAACAATACCTGAAATGTAGGAACCCAATGATTATGTAGGAGGTCAAATAGATCATATGAAGCATCAAGGATTCTAAGACCATCATTTAGGCATAGGAAGCCATGTGCTGTGCCAACTACCTCATAAAATACAAGCAGGTCAGAAGGTCAAACAGCATCAGCATAGTGACTGGCAATAATACATAATGCTCGAAGTCACCACACCACATCAAAGTAGAAGGTTCCAAGATGAAAGGTAAGGAAATAAGGAATGAAGTAATCGAAAGTGATTGGGAGTAATGAAGAGACAGGAAGAAAGGCAAGTAATTATGACGAAAAGTAGTATGGTAATAATACGTGGACAGATTCTAAGTGATATTGCACAGAGTGTTCGGCCAGAGATTTCAGTTATCAACAGGACTCGAACACCAAGCTCACTATTCACATCATGTTTCAAGCCAGCAGCCGAAGACTGAATAAATTGATAGTATGTTTTAGCCTGGCACTTCTGACATTCTTCGAGCCTGTGCACTTCTCAGTAAACAGTGGATATCGAAATAGACCGTGGCTAGGCATGCACAAAATGAATCTCAGCCACCTGAGTTGATAAAGATTCACAGCCTCGTCAACCGACTTTCCTATTCTCCCAAGAAATCTACACTCGACTCCTAAATAATTGGTTTAGGGACACCACGACACATGGCTAGTGATACAAAGGCAAATGTGTCCAAACATCTGTAAACTCCTAAGCTCTTTTACCTTTCACAACTAGGTATAACAAACGAATTTCATGGCGACGACACAAATAATAAGTGTCCCATAGACTCTACACTGCGTGAGTTTCTTCAACAAACACAATGATGTCATCTGCGTACTATAGGTTCACTAAGGACTCTCCTATAACAAGATCAGTCTCGATAAGTCAAGCAAGGATAGATCAAAATAAGTGCATGTTTAACATAAATGATGTTCTATTGGTAAGAAGGTCAGATGGAACCCTGAAGCGAAGTGTTTATAGAAAGTCAACATCAACAGGTCAACATATGCACTTTTTAGTGCTGTACCCCTCCATTACAAAAGGAACCTAGTGAAATGCATAGCATACTGTGCCTCAGCTATTTGCTCAGAGGATAATATAAAGGAAGAGTGCGCCACCATTCGTGATCTACTTAGCAGGAATGGCTACCCAGACAAGTTTGTAACTAAGCACATAAATATTACGAGGGTTAAGCCAACAATGCCAGCAGTTCCTAAGAAGCAAATCTTCTTGAAGCTGAAATTTAAGAGCGATACTGCCAGTGAGATCATCACACAATGCATAAAAAGTCCTACATAAAGCATTCCCAGCCGCTAAATTATATCCCGCCTTCTACAACCGCCCGATTTTAGGTGCCAGAAATAAAGACAAACTGCCTGATTCTGCCATTTTTATGTGCATTTATCAATTCAACCGCTCCTATGGAGCTAGTTGTATTGGGCGTACAATGAGGCAGTTTCATCGTCGAATTTCTGAGCACCACCCGTCATGGTTGAACAAGGGACAAATTAGAACTATAAACAGCTCTATACTTGCCCACCTAGTTGACACAGGACATCAAGCGGTTACTAGAAAAGCTTTCAAAATCATCTAACAGATTCCAATCAATTTACCTCATGGATTACGCACTCGGTTACTTCACATAGCAGAGGTGATTGCAATCCACCTTTACAAACCTAGCCTTTGTATCCAAAAGACGTTTGTTCGACTACTTTCATTACCGCTGCCGTCAACATTTCCAATTTTAGTAACTCTATTGATTATTTACATCATTATTTCTGAAATATCACCACGTGATTGGTAATTTGATTAAATTGTAAAACTATATATTAGTGTAGAGCCAAAGATGAACACCTAATTGAAAAAGAATATATTTCTTCACTCAATCAGTCTTTTTATAAAAGAAGAACATCTGAAAGCAGACATCCTTGACAAACACCAATCAACCGGATACTTCACCACACCACATAACACGCCAACAGATGCTTGAATAACAGCGCGTTCAACAAAGACATTCACATACTTGACATCTCTCTCAGTCAGACACTGTCAAGTAACCTCTCAATCAACAGACTAAAATATTGCCTTCAAGTCAGGAAATACAGACAATGTTATGATATGCATCGGTAATCGTGCCAGTGTTTTTGAACCCAGTGTAGGTCAAACACCTGGTTGATGCACCCACCACTAGTTACGAAACACACCTCATTATTTCACGATTACTGTTTCCAATCACCATTTAAACATATAATCGTTATAGAACCTAGGCTCTTACACATAATGTTTGTCGAACTGACTCCACTGTGGTTATCACATCACAATTTCTGTCAGTAACTGAAGACACCCCAGTTAACACAACCAATAATCACCGACCACTGACTTTACTTAACTACCTCTACTCATGAACCATCTCATCGTGCTAGTCATCTTGAATCCAGACCATTGCAGCCGTCCCAAATTTCTTCGCGAGATCAAGGTCATGCATGCCTCAGTATTGCATTCAGAATCTGACTGAATAGCTGGTTAGGGAACGCTAGCTGGAGGCTAGTTGCACTCTTCCTCACAGTCCTCCGTCCACCGTTCCAGTCATCCCCTCCTCCACTATAGTCTTAGCATCCACTGACCTTCTAGTATCGGTTTCACTCACCAGTCTGAATAACTGTCTTGTGTTACCAATCACCATCACCTTCCCTATTCATTTAGTCTTTACCCATCACCGTTCACTCTCACTGCATAGACTAATCATTATTCCACATTTAAGTCACTTCCACTTCCCATTGTGCTCAGAACCTGTAGGTGTGTATTCGCCTGTATCAACGGTTTTAAAACAAGCTTTTGGGATCCAATCATCCTTTCTAATCATTCCACGATGACCAGCTACGCTCTCCAAGATTGTTTTCACAGCAGACTGGAGATTGCTCCACGCTTCTTCCTCATGAGTGACGTTGTTCTATTCCGATAACTGTCTAACCAGATCATCACTTAAAACAGCCTTAACAATTTTACCAAGATGACGAGCTCAAATTGGTTTTGAAACTATTGTCTTCCCACAAATATTTGGGCACACACATAGGTGTATTCGAAGTAACACATGGTCACTGTTAAAACACGTGCTCCAGCTGGAGTGGTAATCTCACACCAACACACTCTACTAATAACTGATAACAGCATACTGTATTTGTTTGATTAGTATAGGGTGTAAAACTTGTACACTGTGGTATTTGCTTAAGTCAGTAAACTCAAGGTCAAAAAATGCCTTTTCTAATTTCTGATGTCCGTCCTGACGACAAGCGTTTCCTCTTCATTCACCTGGAATTTTAAAAGTGCAAACTCACTGTCTTTACCTCTGACATCGAGAGAAATAGTTTGCTTCTCCCTTAGAACTTAAGGTTAAACCGACACCTGATAAACTGCATTGGTTGGTTGACTTTAAGGGAAAAGCACACCTTGATCCTGTATGCACGTCTCGCAAACACAGAACAATTTGATGATCTGAGATAACACAACTTTGCATATTGGCAGACTTGATGTATTATGAGAACATTGAAAGCTTTAATGTGTAGTTTAAAGGGGGGTTTCTGAAGACCGGGGATGCTCTTTCGTAAACTGTTAACAAGGGCTGCAGGGGTGATGGGAATTAAAAATGACGGGATATTTCATCAGATTGACACTGAAAACGACAAAATCAACACAGAACCAAGCACTTTTGTGCTTCGGGTCAAGTTGCCACACAAAGAACAAGTGAACAGAAAAAAAAGATATCAAAGAAGACAAAGTAGTGTTAGAGGATAAAATATCCGAAGATAAAGGTGAATATTCAAGCTTTAGTATATGTCACGAAGTTAAGACATCTGTACCAGTGACCGATTTTCAGTCATGTCATCAAGAATCCTCAACCACTGATTCCTTTCGCCTCAGGGACCCCAACCTGGCAGTATGCACTTCCCTCCACGACTTAGACCAACAGTATAAGACTTCAGAGACTGCTGCCACGTCTTCATCTGGCCACCCTGAATTCTTTTCTAAACTAGTCCAACTTCTCCTAACATGACATGTCTAGGTAGGCGGGGTCTCGGCATGTGAAATAAGTGTCCAAGCCATCTCAGTCGACTAAGCTTCACAGCCTTATCAATCGACTTTCCTGTTTAGCCTGGTAACCTTCTCCTGACTTCAGCAATGCACAGACGTTGATTCTACCAAACGCGAGCAATCCTATTAAGGCACTGTGATCAAAACCCTGCAACCGCCCCATGTCTTTTACTTTTAACGGCGATGTCTCACAGCCGTACAGCAGGACAGAACGAACTGCAGTGCAGTTTACTGGTTCTTTGATAAGTGGTCGGATATCTCACCTACTACACAGATAACGCAAGTTGGAAAATGCCAAACGGGTCTTGTGTATCCAACCTGAGATTTCGTCAGCAACCAACCTGTTCGTGCTGATGCAGCTCCTTAAGTAAGTGAGGTGGTCGAAATGTTCCACCACTTCACTCCCTATCATTAGACTGGGAGTGGTTGCAAACTAGAGCAGACTGGAGCACCAACTTACATTTGACAGGCGCAAAAGACATGCCAAACATGTTTACATGTTTAGAAGACCCTGGATTATGTCGGCGCCTTCACCCAGCAGGACAAAATCATCTGCATATTCAAGTCAACCAGATGACCTCCAGGGAGTAGGTCAATCTCTGTTAAGTCAGACGTACTTAAGGAAAACCGTGTGTTGACAAAGTTGTGAGAGCGGCTGACGCTTACTGGCTCCTAACATCGTGGAAGCTTATGGTTTCTTGAGGTACTTGAACCAGGGACTGTCTGTGATTTTGGAGCGTTTCCTTACTGGACGAGGGATATCTTCAGATCGATCACACAGGGCCTTTTCGGAGGTCTGAAATTTAACGTTTATCGTCTCAAATATACAGAAGACTGCAGGTTAGGGATGAGTATGGTAGGTTTTGCACTGACATTTGCTAACGCTTCCTTTCTATAGGAAAGGCAGCATCAGCACTGACTGTAGGTCATCAGTGTTTAACGTCATTTTTGCTATCACACTTCCATCCAACCGGCACTGCAACTTCTCACTTGTACCCCAATCACGGTGTAGCTACTTGCACTATAGCGGTAGCTACTTTTTGTCATACCAAAACCTAACAGACCCTTCTGGCATAGTAGAACCTTAAGGAACAACTATTTCTCCCATGCTTGTTTATTGGACCATTCTGATATGCAGGTTTGAACATCATGTCTTGGTAACAGCTATCGGTCTAGAAAGGCCTGTGAATAAGTTGGTTTCTACTCTGAGAGTAGGGAAAACCCACGAAAGTAATAAAGAAACTGACAAAATTCGTCCTAGTTTGGGTTGCCTCAAATGAGAGACATGACATGGTGGATCCCCCATTCGTGTGTGAGATCACATATTTTGTCATCATAGTGAATTGCAAGGGGAAGTTGCATTCATAAATAAGGCACCATTGGAAGCCTCCAACTTTCATTCTCTATCCTGATCTGTATGGTTAATTAAATCACAAAATAAGTTTGAGACCGTTTTGCTGAACGCTAGGGTGGTAATGCCTTTTACTTACGTAAATTCGCTATCAAACAACATTGCTAACTCTCTCAAAGGCTTACGCTGATCTTGTTTATTGCTGGTTTTTGTAAAATAAACCACTAACACAGATGGTAAATTTCGCTAGCTAGATCAGAGTGATGTTAAAACCGAACGACCGATTCGCCTACTGAAGGTGGATCTGATCAGTGGTGGACGAGTCCAGAGTACATGACTGAAATGTTTTGGTTGAATAGTCAGCTTGAGTGGTTCCCAACCGATTGTATTGTTCAGAACTATGACTTACTAATTCGTGCAACCCTGACTTCAGAGAACATAACTTCAAATACAGCCTGTTTTTCAACAGCAACCCTGCTGATGTTGCATTCGTGCAATTGAAGTACTTAATTATGAGAGGTATCTCTATAGACGGTGAAAATTATTAATAACTTGTGAATTGTTTCCACTAACGATAATGTGTATTTCATATAGAACTGGATCAACAGAGGCTCTAGCATTTATCTTCAGCTGAGTTATTCAAATAGACTATTTAATTACAAAGTTTTCTGATTACTAAAATGGAAAGATAGAATGCCAAAAACCGAACCAGTGAAAGCAATATGAAAACTTACTTCCATATAAACATCAAATAATCGTTGGAGTTTATCACGATGGTGATATATTGGATCAGGTAACTGTCGTATCCAACAATGTACAAAGGGATCCAGTCCAAGAATACTTGGCTCTAAATACACCATACCACAACGACTGACTGTAGCTGGTGAAGCAACAGCTAAATCAGCTACTTCGAACATCATTGTCATAGCTTCAGTTAACTTAATAATTTCTCCACTGCTTAAGCATAACTTTTTATTATCATCTAATACAGTATTCATATTTTCAATCCACACAGCATCTACTGGACCATCAAATACATACCAGCGTTTATCTTCATCACACGAACTGACACCATGACGTATTAATGTACTTAGTATTCCGTCTGTCCATTCATGAGTTAATAAGTCGAATTCACCATACAACTGACCCATTGTTATGGATTTTGGATTTAATACATATGTGTGCACAGTTTGAAAGCACGTACCATCTGGTGCTACTTTTTCCCGCAATGATGTTAATGCACTTTGAAGTACTTCATAACACTAAGAAGAAGAAACAAGTAGCGTACATTTAATTGATAGTAATATAAATTGATAGCGTAAAGTAAACACTCAGTGCTTCAATATGCTTGGAAACAATTGGTATTCGAACTTGATAACCTGAATGCACAGTTCTGGCCAACTAACTGACATTCGAGACCAGGTATGCAGTTTGCTAACATACATTATATTGAAAAAAAGTTGGGGATAGCCATTGAATTTCACCAGTAGATATCTTTTCAAACCAAAAAATAAATTCAAAATCTGTTACAGAGGCTAAGATAAGAATTGTCCTCCCATGGATCAAGAATATCTCGGAAACACCAGCCGGATTACTGAATGCGCTTGGAATGCAAGTGTCACATAAACCCACAAAATCTCTACAAAATATTCTATGCGAACCAGAAGACGCAGTTCACAAAGAAGATATGACTAACGTTATCTAGAAAATCAGTTTTAATAACTGTGAAAGTCACTATGTGGGACAGTAAGGTAGATCAGTATTACAACGCTTACATGAACACAAGCTGGCTGTCAAACGCCAAGGTATGAAGTCTCTCATCTGAATACAGTGTAACAACCATAAGTACATATTCAACTACGATAACTTAGAAATAATATAACGTGCAAACTCCGAAGTGGCTTTAGGATTCGTAGAGCCATGGGGAACTAAATAAAATTAACGATGAATCACTAAATCCACCTAGACGTAATATATGAGCTTATTCGAAACGAATCAATTACAGAAACCAATAGAAGCAAATATGAGAAAACCATCGACGCAAATAAAAGGGGATCATCAATCAGTTAGGTCAAGGGGACTCATGTGGAACTAACCAAACTACTGTACCCAGCCAATCAATGCAAAAGGAATCCCTACCCTCTAGTAAAATATAGCTAGCTTGCAGTACCAAAAAAACACCCCTTCAGTCAGAGTAAATCAACAAATCAGTGTAAACTACCCCCCTCCAATACATACAAACCAACTAATCAGATAATGGAAACCATCATCACTTCATTCAAACAATCACAACAAAACGACATCAGTGTACGGTGAGAAAACAAAAATCAACCAATCATACAACTGCATGTCCCTCTTGGAAAATCATAGACGGAAAGCCAAGCAATCAGGTTCAGCATACGCCTACGCGTTCACTTAACGATCAGTTAGATTACTCTCAGACTAACAAGCACGTTATAAATATCTAAGCATAATTAATTAACCTCGCCTGGTTAACTAGTTTACTAGTTACTAGCCGGTCCTAAGCCCGGGTAAACAGGGAAGGTTGGGCATAGGGCTAGCAACCCTACCCCCTAAAACAAATCTAACCGCTAAAGAAACTTCAAAGCACAAACAAAATATAAAAAATGAAAACAAACTTATTCCCCGCTGGAATCGGAGAGGCGAAATGACGCCAGTTGGTGAAAGCCTTCGGGAAGCCAATTGGCCGATGTGTCTTCTCCTCCTAGATGAAAGCCAAAGTAAACTTGGGGATATGGAATCTCCGCACCATGTTTGAACCTGGCAAGGCTGCCCAGATTGCAAAGGAGATGAGAAGGTATAGTATTGAAGTGCTAGGAATCCGCGAAAGCAGGTGGAATGGGAGTGGACTCTCCAAACTGTCAACTGGAGAATCAATAATCTACTACGGTCACCCAGACGACAACCACGAGCACACTGAGTTTTGTAGTGGCTATCATGATGTCCTCAAGAGCATCGAAGGCTCTCATGCAGTGGGAACCAATCTCCTCCAGGATCATGACAGCAAGATTCAACTCAAAAGGAAGAAAGGTCACAATCATACAATGTTATGCACCTACAAATAATGCAGAGCAAGAGAAAAAGGAGGAATTCTACAGACAACTTCAATCAACACTGGACAAGACGCCAGTTGGCGATATCAAAATTCTAATGGGCGACATGAATGCCAAACTGGGAGGGGACAACACGGGAAGAGAACTAACCATGGGTCGAGAGGCGCTAGGTGAAATGAATGAGAATGGAGAATTGTTTGCAGAATTCTGCGCATTCAACGATTTGGTGATTGGAGGCAGTGTGTTCAAGCACAAGGATATTAACAAAGCGAGCAACATAGATTTCACCAGATGGACACACTAAAAATCAGATCCACTTCATCTCAATCTCAAGAAAATGGAGACACAGTCTACTTGACACAAGGTCAAGAAGAGGAGCAGATGTAGGTTCACACCACTCACTATTGAGTGCAAGGAACCTTCTAAATCAAGTTAAAAGCCTTCAAGGAAGCTGGTGATAGACCGCAGTTCAAGTACAACACTCGGACAGAAACTGAAGGATGAAATTACAAAGGAGATCTTCACGCCACTCAGCCATCAAGACAAAATGAGAGATATCGAGGAACATCCCTGAAGAAACCTGTGTGGAAGAACACTGGGAGTCTTTGAAAGAGATGTGGAAAGAAACCTGCACAGCCGTATTAGGAAGGAAGAAGAAAGAAGACAGAAGAAGAATGGATCTCGATGAACACATGGAAGCTGATAGAGGAGGGAGAGGAGGATGGTGAAGCAGAAGATAAACTGGTGGGCAAGGATGCTCAACGACAAGAGGAACTGAGTACAATGTATAAAACACTGGACAAAGAAGTGAGGAAGAGTGCTCGCAAAGACAAAAGGCACTTCTACGAAACACTGGGAAGTGAAGCAGAACAGGCTGGTGGTAGGAGAGACCTGACGACATTGTATCAAATAACCAGGTTGCTATCTGGGAAGAGATCAACACAGATGAAACCAATAAAAGATGATGACGGAAATCTAATTACGAAAGAAGATAAACAAAGGAAACAATGGGCCGACCACTTCAAGAAGCTCTTGAATCGACCACCACCTGCACTTCGTCCAGAAATACCACCTGCAGCCGCTGAACTACAAGTGAACAAAAATCCTCCAACAAAAGTGGAAGTCCTGAACGCCATAAAGCTCCTGAAATGCGGGAAAGCAGCAGGACCAGATGGAATCCCACCAGAAGCACTGAGAACAGACGCAGAGACAACAGCGGACATGCTCACAGCACTATTGCAGAAGGTGTGGAAGGAAGAGAAGGTACCTGGCTAGTGATTGGAAGAAGGGTTACCTTGTCAAACTGCCGAAGGAGGAAGACCTCAGTGCTTGCAAGAACTGGCGTGGAATCACTCTCCTGTCCACCCCAAGCAAAATATTAAGCCGCATCATCTTGGAGAGGCTAAAGGATGCACTGGATTCAAAACTGCGACCGAAACAGGCAGGCTTCAGGAAGTACAAATCATGTGCGGACCAAATTGCAACGCTACTCTACGCATCATCATAGAACAGAGCATAGAATGACAATCAGCTCTCTACCTCAACTTTATCGACTTTGAGAAGGCCTTTGACAGCGTCGACCGAGAGGTAATTTGGAAACTGCTTCAATACTGCGGAATACCGCAAACCTTTATCCGCCTCATTCAACAACTATATGAAGACGCCACATGCCAAGTAATTCACAATGGGAAGCTCAGTGATGCGTTTGAAGTGAAGACAGGAGTGAAACAAGGTTGCCTACTATCCCCCATGATATTCCTTATTGTGGTGGACTGGATCATGCAGCAAACAGTAGGCAGCGAGAAGAGGGGGATACGCTGACTGGACGACGGAAAAGAACCTAGAAGACTTGGATTTCGCCGATGACTTGTGCCTAATGTCACACAAACTTGAAGATCTACAGGCGAAAACTAACAAGTTGACAGAAGAGGCGGGTCAGCAAAGACGGGACTTCAGGTGAATATAGAGAAGACAGAAGTGATGAAGATACCGCACCACCACCATCAACAACAACAACAAACTCCAATCACCGTCAACGGGAGAAACTTGAAGGAAGTAACCTCCTTCACTTATCTAGGAAGCACTGTTTCAACTACAGGCGGGACGGACGAGGACGTCAAAGTCAGAATCGGAAAAGCAAGACACATTAGCCTGAAACCAGTGTGGAGATCTTCTGCACTCAGCATGCGGAACAAGATACGGATTTTCAACACCAACGTCAAGTCAGTGCTCTTGTATGGCTCAGAGACTTGGCGCGTCACGAAAGGCATTTCCAATAAACTACAGACATTCATCAACAACTGCTTACACTGGCTCGCTAGTGAAGATCAGATGGCCAGAAAGAATAAGCAACAAGGAACTCTGGGAACGAACCAACCAAGAACCTATCACGCAACAAATATGCAGGAAGAAGTGGAGATGGATTGGCCATGCACTGAGAAGGCCGACTGAGGACATCACGCGTCAGGCCCTCGAGTGGAATCCCCATGGGAAGCGACGAGTTGGACGTCCGAGGGTGACATGGAGGAGGTCGTGCGAGGAGGAAATGAGAGGTTGTGGGCTGTCGTGGGACCAGGTTCAAAAGATCTCAGAGAACAGAGGTCACTGGAGGCGTGCTACTGAAGCCCTATGTTCCACTAGGAACCCAAGGGACTAATAATAATAGTAATAAAGCATAATTAATTAATTCACTCCCTCTGATGCACCGGCGATGATGTCTAGTATGACAGTGGAAGGTTTCCTAGCTCAAACCCTAGCTCAAAGAACAACTCACTCTAAGCACCCCCATACTGAACTACGAATATTCACCACAATTTTTCAAAGGTGAATTCAAGGTGATAAAAGATACTACTTTAGCACACCTATTAGGGGTAAGGGATGACGTAGGTGCTGATATAGCTTTCACTGTCGTAAACCGTGTTCTGAAAATACTACCACATACAGTTAGCTAGGGATTCCCCAACCTGTCTAGAGCTGTAGTCCTAGGATAGATAGAACCTGAACCTAGAAATCAGAAGGATTGCATTCTTCCTTTGGTCATCACATTCTTCACCTGTATATAAGTCATCCCAATATCAACAAAATTCGGAGAAAAAACTGATTTTCCTACAGACCCCAGATACACATTGTATTACAGAAATGTATCTCCCTCAAACTTGCACTGTTTTTATGCTGAATAGTTTCCATTTTATGACTACTCAAAATGATAAGAATTCATTGGGAAAAACATAGTTGGTTCATATTGTATTGTTGCAGTTTGATGGTGAATGTGTGTTATCCTTTTCCAGCTAGATACACTTACAGACAAATGAAGTTTTCGCAACAGATTTAAGTTATATCCACCTCTCAGATAATAAAAAACATTCATAACAGCGATTTCAGAAAAAAATGATGATTTTTATTACTGTTAGTAATCACCTTCCACTCAACTGGTAGAGCAAAACTGGTAAATTGTCCGACAAGAAATATCTTCAATCAAATGAAGGTAATATTTGCTGACGATCAAAACCAGAATCTAGGAATATGCCTTGTCTCATACGGTTTACGTCCAATCGATTAGCCTGCCTCCAAGTGGGTACCCATTTCTCATCACTTCATAAAAAACTATATGTAACGGAATTAAGCACCAGAAGTACATCAGATTGTATTTGGATCGATTCACTGGCTTTTACAGAATAAACAGTACTGGGATATGCATATTCTTATATGCACTGGTTAACCAAAAGATTGGTGATCTAAAATAATCATAGCATGCATAATATCAGATGTTGCACCGGATGTATATTCTATCAGAATTATACACTAAGATACCTAGTGAAGTAAAAACACTCAACCCGAATATGCTGTATGTATGGATGGTTCCTGTGGTAGTGGATAGACAAATTCATAAATCTATCATACGCTTAACTCAAGAGTATGTGACAGCTTTATCATCGCATATGATAATTAAATGTAACGTGTTCTACATTAATCTTAGGGGTAACACTAACGCCTTAATTAACAGTCAAGAAACTACTGGAGACCAGTCATCCACACTTTTTATCATTTTTAACTATTACTGAAGCATCATATGAATCCAACAGTATTTTACGAGGCTAGTGGTTTCGTTTAAAAACTCTCATCTGAAAATATTTATTCTTTTATTTATCTGTAGGAAAATTGTTTCCGATGACTTACTTTTGTTTTGCCTGACCCAGTTGGACCAACTAACATAAGTCCGTGTCTAACCACAGTAGTTTCATACAGCTGAATACACTTCTGAACGAATCCTTGGGAAGAAAAGGAAAGAAGGAATAGAATAACTAGAAAAATCTAAGCTATCACAGTACGAAATGTATTAGAAAATCAAACTAAGCTATGATTACCGTGGTATGATAATGGTCAGGATCCTATAAGAAACCAGATTCCTATTACTGCCTCAATACTGAAAAATACTTGTGGGAGGCTGTAGCAATGCACTAAACTACTAAAAATTCTAGTATCCTTCACAAAAGAATTCTGTTTTTAAGGTCAATTTGTTTGAAATTACAATCAAATGGTAAGTCAGTTAATCCACTAGTTAAAAATCGTCGAATTCCATTCTGTTCAGGTGTTTCTTTGTTTCATTCATAAAACTAAGGATATGGGCTGAAAAAATCAGAAAAACTATTTCTAAAATCGCTTATTATTTAGCTATCTGGCGTACAACTTTCAGCTGTTCCGATCATGTTTACATATAGTAATGCATTAGACTAATAACAGGGCTGGCAGTTAGAGAAATAAGTCCATATATTTCGATTCAGCAATACATTTGGATACATCATTCAACCTAACAACGAAGAGTTAACACTAAACATCGAACCTTGAACTCCTTCATGAACCTTTTTACCTCAGGTACGTGAATTTAACAAAAACGTTAACTGGGATTTGCTTAGTAATGACTATCGTTGGAGTCCAGGAGGGACGTTTTATCATTTTTGGGACTCATCAGCTGAATACACCTGAATTTCAGTGAGTGAGAGTGTTACTATTTAAACTTGAACTTGTCAACAAATATTTCAAAAGCCAGAACATCATTCACCAGGCTAGAGAGCCAACAAGAACTCATAAACTCGATCCAGTATAATAATCAACGGGAAATTAAAAGTATCAAAACAAAACTTCAGCAGCATTTTACTGAGATCCACAAAACACAATGATTATTTTTCGACACCAGGGACCAAACAGAGTCGATAAAAAAAATACAGTGCACCACAGTGTCACGTCACTTAGGTAAGGGTTTACATCACTACATCATTACATCACTTGATCGATATACTTCGATGAACACAGAGCACTTTCGGGTAAGAAGCTATATAAGTTACTTGCCTATGACCATATTAAACACTTTATAGAGTACAGTATTAGCTCCCAGATTCTTTAAAGAAGATTAAAAATCCCTGAAAACCTTTACAGTCAATAATTACGTGCCAGACATTCATGAAACGTTATGTGAGCTTCAGATAGGTTAACAAGACTTAATCGCTAGGAAATGTTCTTCTAGAGAAGTGTCAAGACAACTAGTAACATTTGTATACCGTTGTATTTTGTACAAGTTCTAACTTACTGATAAACGTTGTATCGTTTTACTTCATCTTCTTGTCTTAGTGGAGCCAAGCAACTTTTAAGGTTAAAATGAAAAAGTTATGATTCACAATTCCTTGTCTGTATCATCTACTCATATTATACCATAAAAATCATTGTTAGCATTTAAATGATTGCCACGTGCAACATTCCCCAAAATTGTTCAGGGTTATCGAACTAACACACGCTGGATTTCAATCGTCATTCAAAAGAATGGAAAACTACTAACTCACCAATTTATAACTTACCGTCAACTTCCATTAAACCCAGTTTACTACACGATGTTTTTAATGCAATCATTAAGTCACCATAATCAACTAGTTTCTCGCTAATTTTATTTTCAAAAAGAAAGCAAAAATATCAAGATTATTCAGTAGTATATGGATCAGTTAAAATCTCAACGAAAATAAATCAAAACTAGTGTATTATTCATAGCCTGAACAATGTGAACGAAACTATTTTATCAAAACATAAGATATCTGTAAAGTGATGATCAATTTAGAAAACAGTTGCAGTATTTCACATATTGTAAAAATACACATGAATGAGCACAATGTCTGCAAAGAAGAAGCATACTATATTGAAATCTTTTAGCTAAAGTATGATAACAGTATGTATACACCAACCGATTAAATAAAGTAATTCAGTCTTGTAGGAAACCATTTGTTATTAGATGTGATCCAGAGTTAAAGGTGTAATAAACGTTTTCGAAAGTAACATGTAAGGATAAAGATCAAACTTTAGATTTAACTTCTAGTCAGTATCTAGATAAAAACAAAATATAACCCACCGATATGTGCAATAATTTCTTTACGGAAATAAACCGTTGGTCTCGTTTAACAAAAAACTTTTGAATAGTGCTGAGAAATATAAATTCCGATTGGAGTCATTTCAGTCAGTAGAAGAAAATTATAAAAAACCTGAGTTCGGAAAGTTAATTAAGTTACTAGTTGTCGGGATGACAAATTCTGATCGCTATCAGTTGGATGTTAGAGCCCTCAACCAATGAAAAATCACTCAAAGGTTTGATCACAATGTTGTACATAAGTTCACTTTCTGCTTTCTAAATATTAATTCTCCTAACTCTCGTTACCTATTCATCCCTTTTAAAGACCAATCGCCGCCATTTAGTAACGTCTTTAGCTGCAGCTCTAAGTAACGCGGGTTCGAATTCTTCAACGGGAATCACTTCCATCGAGGTTACAGATACGCCTTGCTGACGAGTACCAGCAAGGACGAAACCGTCCTACTGACTGCTTTAAACCGTTTAACACCAACATACTAGGTTTCACTCACAGTAATATAATATTCCTGTATCACTATGGTAGGTGACGAGTTGAACCAACATCATTTATCCAAGCTATTATATGCTTCCTTTTTCTTAGTAAACATCTGTGATACTATGTCATGTATGGGTAAGAATAGAATACCATATATATGAAAATTAACACTTGGGAATGTGATGAAAAGTGAAAAAATGTTTCATACATTCTCATACTGTTCAGCTATTAGAATAATCTATAACATAAAGGAAGTCAATAAACATACCGTATATTAGGGAACAGATCAGAAACGATCCCACTGAACAGTTTCAAGTCATCGGACAAAAACTTAGGCACATTCACGTCTCGTATAGCACGTAGACATATAAGGTCCTGTAAAACAATGATAAATACTTTAAATAAAACTCTTTAATTAGATTTATATAGCTGTGTGTTCTTGCAAAACGATATTACAGCTTTTAATCTACTGTTGACGATTTGTTCGAGCTGAGGAAATAAATGATTACTGACACATGGAATCCTTGAGATAATGCTTTGATACTACCGCTATTATACCTGGACTCACTATGTAAACTTAAACATGATCAAGTTGGGAGGAAGCTATGAAAGACTAGATTAGGGGATGATACCAGTTAGTAATGTTTTCAACAATATTTCTGATCCGTGAGTGGTAGCGTAAGTTATCTGGTTAAAGTCTTCGAAATGGTAGGAAACAATGATTAGAGGTTCTTTGTGCTGAAGATCAAAAAACTGATCACAATGGCGTAACTGTATACACTTTGCCATCTTCATAATCTTAGATACTTGACCAAACTTCATAATTTATTTCCTCTCTTAACATGCTCTTTTGCTTACTTCAACATCATTCCTTCTTCTATTCCCCTCCTCTTTGTCTGACGTCGTAAAGTGTGACAACTTAATCTGATGAACTTCTATGCCAGGTTCTACGTTGTTTTATATTTCTGTTTATCATTTTGATAATAATATGTCGAGGTTAACAGTGTATTTCAGGCAATTCTTCAAACTAAAAATAGGTTAGCTGGATATAACCCTATCTCTAAATGAGCGATGTTCTTCACACAGAAACTAGTTAAAAGCTCCGGAAATTAATGAGTAAAGATTAGACTTCTACACGTTGAAAACCATTTATTCAATATATTTTTTAATTGTGAACCTCAGAAGATGCCAAGGGATCTGCCTCTTCCCCACATAACTCAGATCAACAGTAAGAGACTACAGAGACTGATGCCACATCTTCGTCTGGCCACTCTCAACTCTCTTCCAACCTTATCCAACTTTCCCCAACATGGCACGTTGATGTAGGCGGTAGCTCGGCATGCCCAATATATGTCCAAGCTATCTCAGTAGACTGAGCATCACAACCTCATCAATCGACTTGCCTGTCTTGCCTAGTACCCTTCTCCTGATCTCAGCACTGCTCACACGGTGATTCCATCAAAAGCGAGCAACGCTACCCAGACATCTATGAATAAAAAGCCCTGTAACCGCTTCATGTCTTCTACTTTGAACAGTTATGTCTCACAGCCGTACATAGGTCAATGAAGTTGCACGTTACCTTCACTTAAGGGATACAAATTAAATCATGATAATTATGCACGTTTTCAAGAAATTGATGAGGAGTTAAAATATCTTGATTACAGACGCACAATCTGTCTGGTTGTACCGAGTGGGTATGATAGAAGTGCTAAATGCATTCAAAAAGTTTTCTTGGGTTCTTGTAGAAAGTCTTGGTTTTGGCAACTAACCAAGCATTTAAAAAAAATTCAAATTAAGCATACGAAATCAGATGATAATTCATATAATATATCAAGTTGAAGAGGAATAAAGTATTAACTATGAATGATATAGTTGGAGAACCATTGAGAACCTGAGAGCTTTGGACAGCTTTTTCGTATGCGACTCCTCAGCAGTGCGCACCCAGTGATCGACACAGGACACCGAAAAGGTGCTAGTGCATCTCTTACTGAGATACGCAGCGTTATGAAGACTTTGCTGCCTGCCATTCGACTACGTATTATCTATGTAGTAAAAGCTTTAAGCATAAGATAAAGTGAGCCTGAACTTTGCACTCAAAAAGAACACGTCCAAGCCTCACTCCTCACCTCCCATTAACCAAACAGTATTTCCTGAACCTAATATTTTTTTCTTTCATTCCCTGTCTCTTTTTCAAAAACAAAACTTCTTAAACGGGTTTTCCTTTGTATTTCTCCTCTTATTTTAATCGGCCTTTATAATTCCTGATTAAAAATTTACACATTGTTATTACTCATTATCTCAACCAATTGACAGACTGGCTATTTTACAATGACATATGCACTTTATTTCTACCTTTCTGGAAATTTCATGTCATTTTTCATACTAATCGTTCACTCGACACAATTTAATCTTGAACTATGCTATGAATTTTCTTTCCCCATGCTGTATACATTGACATGCCTGATCACCAATCAATTGACAAAGTTTAAACTCAACTTATCACTGCAAATAACAGACATATATAAATTTATGATTTTGACTAACTGAGATAGCCGTGGTTTGGAAGACTAGTATTGATGATTGAAAGTGAAATGAAACTAGCAACCATCACTGGTTCGAATCCGGCCGCGGTCCAAATTTTCATTTGACCTCCAATCATCGTCCAGTATCAATATATAGGTTTCACTATTATCTACAAACTTAAACTATCTAATTGTTATTATAATTCCACACCCAATCTAAAATGTATTCACTGGAAATTTTGGCCATCAACATGCTAAGGAAATTGGTTTTATAGCTTTAGAACCTAACTTGAAGTTAGTGAAAAGAATATTCTTTGGCCATAGTTGATTTTTAATTCTCTGTTTAAGAAAAATGAGATTGAGGTGAAATGGTTTTACAGTTTGGATTAGTTTTCAGTGTATGTTTTACCAAAATTAGGCATTTTTCTATCAACCATTCACTCAGTCTTTGTGTTGAGTAGAAGTGAAATTCTTTTCAGTCTTCTTTTAGTTCAGTATGATCATTTTGGTTAGATCATAAGTTATACGATATACAAATTTCAATTTAATCAAAAGAGAAATAGTGCTCACTCACTTCATCCATATCTGAGTTTTGTCGTTTCAAATTACCAGCTGCCGATATAACACTCTTCACTGCACGCATACCAAAATCATAGTGATCTTGTGTACTTAACTGTTCAGAGGATAACTTAAATGTTGTTACAATTTTCTTAGCTAATAGACGTGCATCTGAAAATCCAAACGAAAATAATGAAATTTCTGCAATCAATGCGTAATCTGGTACCATCATAGCCACTGGCCTAAATAACGCCTTTAGATTATCTGGTAATTCTGTGCGTCCAGCATAACCAGGATTCATGGTGATAAAAACAGCACAGGAGGGTTTCAATTCTAATTCATCACCTTCAAACAGAAAACGTGTTAAACGCTGTTGCTGTGCTTTTTGTATAGTGGTTATCTGTTGAGCGACAACTGACAAGACTTCAATATCAATACGATTGAACTCATCAAAACATGCCCACGCACCGGCTGATGCCAGTCCTTTGAAAAATTTACCCATAGCCATAAAATCTAATTGATCTGAACAATTAAACACAACACACTGGACAGCAAATGCCTTGCCTAAATCCTTAGTTGTCTCTGTTTTTCCAGTACCAGCTGGTCCAGCTGGTGCACCACCAAATTTTAAGTGCAGTGCACCAGTTAGTGTAAGATAACATCGATCAGTTAGTGGTGTAATAACCAAACGTGTTGTATTGCCTAAGTATTCATAACCATAGTTAAATTCAGCATTCACAGCACGAAGTTTTAACTCTTCTTCTTCATTATTCCAATAATAACGTAGCTGACTAATCCATTCGAAATCATTCACATTTTGTACACCTTCTTCTATCATTTTAGCGACAACATCGCGTGCGTGTACTTCAATAACTATTAACGCAGATAGAGTCATCCGACCAATTTTAGTTAAATCACCACGCACAAGCTGTCGTAAACCATCTAGTTGTTTTAATAAATCCGGATATAATTGATCCATCTTATTTGTGTATATGGCTTCGGTCACTTCACTGGTCCAAAATGTTTGACATACAGCAATAACAACTTGTCCAGGCCACTGTAATACCCATTCAGTACGTGGTGTTTGGGCATAAGCAAGTATTGATTTACCGATGATTGTCTTCATTGAAAATCTCATCATACTTTCGATTTCTAACATCCATTCTTCAACATTGGGTGTTGGATATGTGGTCTTTTCGAATTGAACACATTCGCCTTCACCAGAAAACATAGCTGTGATTTGTAAGTCTTTTTCGAATTGTAACTAAAGAAGACAAAAGAAGAACATAAAACAGATGCATAACGGAAAAACTTCTGGATGATAGCGCATTTTCAGCGTATGATAATGAATTCATGCATCGTTTCGACTCTTGCATAGCTGCAATGTCGTCAATCAAAACAATTTTGAACTATACTACCAGTCATCTCTAACTACGGCTAACTCTGAGGATATAAACTATCTGTCAGTCACTCTGTAATAACTTCTTTCTTGGATGCATTGAGGCTTCATCTATCCAACTTCTGCTCCAACCTGCATCACAAGTCAAACAAAGCAGTAAGTGGAAATGCATAAAACTATTTTAAGCATACCAGTAAGTATAGTCACACAATAGCAACAAAGGGTTCACTTGACTAGAATTTGAATTCTAGCCTTAGTGTTCTTTAGCCACTTATTTTATCACCGTTTTCAGCAAACAAAATCTGGAACCCTAGATAATGTGCAAAATTTTCTTCTGTAAACTTGTAACTCAGTCGTACGATCTAGAAGTTTACAAATATCCTTCTGGTTTTTCACTTGAAGTGGATAACTGAATCAATTTAGGGTGAATTGCATCAACTGATATTCAATTATCTTAGCGACACGAAGCTGTGGCGAATCAGAAGAATAGTGATATGATCTAAGTTATCAACAGAATTTCCCTTAAATTCCTTGATAACATGAATTAAACTTCAAAAGAAATTACAGTTATCTTTTTCAATATATGATATTTGAATGTAGATGAAGAAGAAGACAAATCACTAGCTTTGAACAAAAATAAGTGATAGTCAAATATGATGAACGATAAAAGATTTAAGTTTCATTCATTTGACCAATCAATCAAATATCAATTATCAGTCATTGGCATTGAAACTATTCGCTGTATGATTACTGTGACGGCCACACAGCTTGAATGTCCCAGCTTTCGACAATTTAAAAGGTCGAAGATGCGTACAGCCAGACATCTGTAAAGTTATATATATATATATATATATATATATATATATATATATATATATATATATATATATATATATATATATATATATATGACATAAAGGTCGAATGATAACAAAAATGGTTACGTAAGATTTTCAAATCGTTTATAAGGTGCATATAGATAAAAAGGATGAGACAACTTAATTGGAGTAAATTGAAAGTGTTTTGTTAAAAGTTACGCTTATTAGGAAGATCTAATGAAATAAAATCGGAAACAATGAAATATAAAAGATAAAGTGAGAATGACGATATAAGAGTACAAAGATTAATCTGACAAAAAAGGGGTGGGTGAGAAACGAGAAAAGAGAAAGAAGCACACCAAGACTAAAATAAATTAAGGCCAAGGTAGAGGTAAAGACTCTACATACTTCTTTTGCACACAAAGGTCAGGCTTCAGTTCATGAATAGCCAAGGTCTCTGCTGTTTTTAGAAGCTGAACACGGAGGAAACGTGAAGTGGTTGGGCGAATTCAATAGACAACCTTAAAATCCTTGTTTGGTCAGCTGAATAGTTGGGATCGATTAAATGCTCAAGGACAGAACTTCTGATGCATTTCCTTTCACCCAGTCAGGAATATGTTCTCGTATAGGTGTGGACAGCAATCTCTGACTACGGCCGATGTACCTTGCTCCTGTGCAGCAAGGCACGTTCTCATCTCTTTTAATCTATATGCACCTTATAAACGATTTGAAAATCTTACGTAACCATTTTTGTTACCATTCGTCCTTTACGTCATCAACTAGCAACATTATACTTATAACCTTCATTATTATTTTTCCAACCCCCCATGTAAGTCTTCCTCGCGGATTACAGTCTTTAAATATCATATATTTACCGATGTACAGCTCGAGAACAAATTTGTTGGAAAGAGTCCTCTTCGCTGAATGTCTTGTTTTTGATATATATTTATATATATTCTCTGTTTTTTCACATAACCTAAACTGATAACACACTCTAGTGAATACCTGTATAACAATTTTCAGACCTAATTCTCAATGGTCACTCATCTTCTCTAAAACAGAGATAATAGGAAGTTTTAAACTATTAAACATCATTAGTTTACATTAAATTAATCTATTGTTATTTTTAACTGCCTTCCGTAAAAAAAAAGCAACTAGGAAAGCGTTTGTAATTGAAAATAACAAAAATAACTGAGGTATACAAGAGATGATTGATACCGAGAAGAAACTGAGAACAGCACAATTCGGACCGGAAACCTGTAGGTTCAGCACTCTAGTAAAAATTAATTTTTTAGATGTTAGTCAGCTGCTGCTTCCACCATGAAGTCAGTACTTATATGCATTGACTTAGTCTATAAAGAGCCAGATTGATAAGCCAGAGTCCTTGGTTTTGAAAGTTGATAAAATCATAGTTCCGTTTAAACTTCTGTTGAAATCTTCGAATATAAGAAGTACACTTCCTAACCATGAGTAATTTGGATAATGTTACTTGAAAATAAATTTACCTTTGCAATGTTTTCAAAGCATTTTCTTAAATGTGGCTGAACAGCTTTGGGATCTTTCGTTTGTGATAATATTTCAAGGAGTTCATCATCGGATAAGAAATAAAATCTTGGAAATGCTTGACGCTTAGTCTCCAAATATTCACTCAAACCCTTTTGTACTTGATCCAATAAACGATTACATTCACGTAGACTGTTTAACAGCCGTGGATCTGGGCATAGTGTTATAACTTGCGGTTGCTCAGTAGCCAGTTTCATTACTTTCCGCCATATACGATCCATAGTTGCATAACGCTTACTTTCAACAGGCAATTGTCGATTAATATCTTCTGAACTAAATATTGGTTCCAAGTACAACCATTGTCTTTGACATGTTATCCATTCATCCAATACATCTTGTGTTAAATGTAGCTTAGTCTCCCAGTGTGATATACGTTCCTCAAAAGGTTTTTTATATGGAGAGAAATTCATCGACTGTGTCATAACAACATGATCATCTAATAATTGGTTAACTTCATCACCTATTTTTATAATGCATGTTCCTGTGTCTTTATACGGTATTATTTCAAATTTGATCGGTTCCCAGTCGTTAACCATTTTATTCAATGCACTTTCAATTGAATACTCCTTACCAGCAATATCAGCAACCTTTGATATAATCTCGATATTATCCTATTCAGTAAAAAAATATTTACTATTTATTTACTATTGTATTTCATAACTGCAATAATTTGATGATTTTAATACATTGTAGTTCAATCAACCAAAAAAAGTTTCAACGGTTGTATAATATTTCAAGTTATTATGTCAAACTGAACCTCGCCTGGTTAACTAGTTTACTAGTTACTAGCCGGTCCTAAGCCCGGGTAAAGAGGGAAGGTTGGGCATAGGGCTAGCAACCCTACCCCGTAAAACAAATCTAACCGCTAAAGAAACTTCAAAGCACAAACAAAATATAAAAAATGAAAACAAACTTATTCCCCGCTGGAATCGGAGAGGCGAAATGACGCCAGTTGGTGAAAGCCTTCGGGAAGCCAATTGGCCGATGTGTCTTCTCTCGATGAAAGCGAAAGTAAACGTGGGGACATGGAATGTCCGCACGATGTTTGAACCCAGTAAGGCAGCCCAGATTGCAAAGGAGATGAGAAGGTATAACATCGAAGTGCTTGGGATTTGCGAAAGCAGATGGAATGGGAGTGGACTCTCCAAACTGTCAACTGGAGAATCAATAATCTACTCCGGTCACCCAGACGCCAACCACGAGCACACTGAGGGAGTGGCTATCATGATGTCCTCAAGAGCATCGAAGGCTCTCATGCAGTGGGAACCAATCTCCTCCAGGATCATGACAGCAAGATTCAACTCAAAAGGAAGAAAGGTCACAATCATACAATGTTATGCACCTACAAATAATGCAGAGCAAGAGAAAAAGGAGGAATTCTACAGACAACTTCAATCAACACTGGACAAGACGTCAGTTGGCGATATCAAAATTCTAATGGGCGACATGAATGCCAAACTGGGAGGGGACAACACGGGAAGAGAACTAACCATGGGTCGAGAGGCACTAGGTGAAATGAATGAGAATGGAGAATTGTTTGCAGAATTCTGCGCATTCAACGATTTGGTGATTGGAGGCAGTGTGTTCAGGCACAAAGATATCCACAAAGCGACATGGATTTCACCAGATGGACACACTAAAAATCAAATCGACTTTATCTCAATCTCAAGAAAATGGAGACGCAGTCTACTTAACACAAGGTCAAGAAGAGGAGCAGATGTAGGTTCAGACCACTACCTAGTGCAAGGAACCTTCCAAATCAAGTTAAAAGCCTTCAAGGAAGCTGGTGATAGACCTCAACCCAAGTACAACACTCGGAAACTGAAGGATGAAACTACAAAGGAGATCTTCAAGGCAGCCATCAAGACAAAATGGGAGACGTCGAGGGACATCCCTGAAGAAACCTGTGTGGAAGAACACTGGAAGTCTTTGAAAGCTATGTGGAAAGAAACCTGCACAACAGTATTAGGAAGGAAGAAGAAAGAAGACAAGGAATGGATCTCGACGGATACCTGGAAGCTGATAGAGGAGAGGAGGATGGTGAAGCAGAAGATAAACCAGTGCAAGGATGCTCAACGACAAGAGGAACTGAGCACAATGTATAAAACACTGGACAAAGAAGTGAAGAAGAGTGCACGCAAAGACAAAAGACACTTCTACGAAACACTGGCAAGTGAAGCAGAACAGGCTGCAGGTAAGAGAGACCTGACGACATTGTATCAAATAACCAGGTTGCTATCAGGGAAGAGACCAACACAGATGAAACCAATAAAAGATGAAGAAGGAAATTTAATTACGAAAGAAGAGAAACAGAGGAAACGATGGGCCGACCACTTCAAGAAGCTCTTGAATCGACCACCACCTGCACTTCGTCCAGAAATACCACCTGCAGCCGCTGAACTACAAGTGAACATTAATCCCCCAACGAAAATGGAAGTCCTGAACGCCATAAAGCTACTGAAATGCGGGAAAGCAGCAGGACCAGATGGAATACCGCCAGAAGCACTGAAAACAGATGCAGAGACAACAGCGGCCATGCTCACACCACTATTGCAGAAGGTGTGGAAGGAAGAGAAGGTACCTGACGATTGGAAGAAGGGTTACCTTGTCAAACTGCCGAAGAAGGGAGACCTCAGTGCTTGCAAGAACTGGCGCGGAATCACTCTCCTGTCCACCCCAAGTAAAATATTAAGCCGCATCATCCTGGAGAGGCTAAGGGATGCACTGGATTCAAAACTACGACCGGAACAGGCAGGCTTCAGGAAGTACAAATCATGTGCAGACCAAATTGCAACGCTTCGTATCATCATAGAACAGAGCATAGAATGGCAATCACCTCTCCACCTCAACTTCATCGACTTTGAGAAGGCCTTTGACAGCGTCGACCGAGAAGTAATTTGGAAACTGCTTCAATACTACGGAGTACCGCAAACCTTTATCCGCCTCATTCAACAACTATATGAAGATGCTACATGCCAAGTAATCCACAATGGGAAGCTCAGTGATGCCTTTGAAGTGAAGACAGGAGTGAAACAAGGTTGCCTACTATCCCCCATGATATTCTTGATTGTGGTGGACTGGATCATGCAGCAAACAGTAGGCAGCGAGAAGAGGGGGATACACTGGACGACGGAAAAGAACCTAGAAGACTTGGATTTCGCCGATGACTTATGCCTAATGTCACATAAACTTGAAGATCTGCAGGCAAAAACTAACAAGTTGATAGAAGAGGCAGCGAAGACGGGACTTCAGGTGAATATAGAGAAGACAGAAGTGATGAAGATACCGCACCACCACCATCAACAACAACAACAACAAACTCCAATCACCGTCAACGGGAGAAACTTAAAGGAAGTAACCTCCTTCACTTATCTAGGAAGCACTGTTTCAACTACAGGCGGGACGGACGAGGACGTCAAAGTCAGAATCGGAAAAGCAAGACAGGCGTTCATTAGCCTGAAACCAGTGTGGAGATCTTCTGCACTCAGCATGCGGAACAAGATACGGATTTTCAACACCAACGTCAAGTCAGTGCTCTTGTATGGCTCAGAGACTTGGCGCGTCACGAAAGGTATTTCCAATAAACTACAGACATTCATCAACAACTGCTTACGCTCGCTGCTGAAGATCAGATGGCCAGAAAAAATAAGCAACAAGGAACTCTGGGAACGAACCAACCAAGAACCTATCACGCAACAAATATGCAGGAAGAAGTGGAGATGGATTGGCCATGCACTGAGAAGGCCGACGGAGGACATCACGCGTCAGGCCCTCGAGTGGAATCCCCATGGGAAGCGACGAGTTGGACGTCCGAGGGTGACATGGAGGAGGTCGTGCGAGGAGGAAATGAGAGCTTGTGGGCTGTCGTGGGACCAGGTTCAAAAGATCTCAGAGAACAGAGGTCACTGGAGGCGTGCTACTGAAGCCCTATGTTCCACTAGGAACCCAAGGGACTAATAATATATATAATAAATAATAATGTCAAACTGACAATTTGAAAGGAGATGAACTGAAATTTCCAAGTTACATCGGTTGGAAAAGACTATTGCTAACTAAGCAGCAAAAAGTACTCACATAACTTCATCCAATGATGCCTAGTGCTGAACTCGTTCACTGATGAAATTGAGAATATTTAAATACTTTGATGCCAAAACCACGAAACGATCAAAAAAATAGGAAGCCATTTTTTGTAGATGGTTCAATAAATTTCACATCGTTTTCATGAACAACCAAGGTTCACAAAGTTATCAACTTATTTCGACACAACGATGTCATCTGCGTACTCTAGGTTCATTAAGGACTCTCCTGTAACAAGATCAGTCTCCATAAGTCAAGCAAGGATAAATCAAAATAAGCGCATGTTTGACATAAATGAAAAACATCGGAGAGTAGATATCCTTGACAAACACCAATCAACCGGATACTTCACCACACCACATAACACGCCAACAGATGCTTGAATAACAGCGCGTTCAACAAAGACATTCACATACTTGACATCTCTCTCAGTCAGACACTGTCAAGTAACCTCTCAATCAACAGACTAAAATATTGCCTTCAAGTCAGGAAATACAGGTAATGTTATGATATGCATCGGTAATCGTGCCAGTGCTTTTGAACCCAGTGTAGGTCAAACACCTGGTTGATGCACCCACCACTAGTTACGAAACACACCTCATTATTTCATGATTACTGTTTCCAATCACCATTTAAACATATAATCGTTATAGAACCTAGGCTCTTACACATAATGTTTGTCGGACTGACTCCACTGTGGTTATCACATCACAATTTCTGTCAGTAACTGAAGACACTCCAGTTAACACAACCAATAATCACCGACCACTGACTTTACTTAACTACCTCTACTCATGGTCCATCTCATCGTGCTAGTCATCTTGAATCCAGGCCATTGCAGCCGTCCCAAATTTCTTCGCGAGATCAAGGTCATGCCTCAGTATTGCATTCAGAATCTGACTGAATAGCTGGTTAGGGAACGCTAGCTGGAGGCTAGTTGCACTCTTCCTCACAGTCCTCCGTCCACCGTTCCAGTCATCCCCTCCTCCACTATAGTCTTAGCATCCACTGACCTTCTAGTATCGGTTTCACTCACCAGTCTGAATAACTGTCTTGTGTTACCAATCACCATCACCTTCCCCATTCATTTAGTCTTTACCCATCACCGTTCACTCTCACTGCATAGACTAATCATTATTCCACACTTAAGTCACTTCCACTTCCCATTGTGCTCAGAACCTGTAGGTGTGTATTCGCCTGTATCAACGATTTTAAAACAAGCTTTTGGGATCCAATCATCCTTTCTAATCATTCCACGATGACCAGCTACGCTCTCCAAGATTGTTTTCACAGCAGACTGGAGATTGCTCCACGCTTCTTCCCCATGAGTGACGTTGTTCTATTCCGATAACTGTCTAACCAGATCATCACTTAAAACAGCCTTAACAATTTTACCAAGATGACGAGCTCAAATTGGTTTTGAAACTACTGTCTTCCCACAAATATTTGGGCACACACATAGGTGTATTCGAAGTAACACATGGTCACTGTTAAAACACGTGCTCCAGCTGGAGTGGTAATCTCACACCAACACACTCTACTAATAACTGATAACAGCATACTGTATTTGTTTGATTAGTATAGGGTGTAAAACTTGTACACTGTGGTATTTGCTTAAGTCAGTAAACTCAAGGTCGAAAAATGCCTTTTCTAATTTCTGATATCCGTCCTGATCAGCTGTGGGTGTTTATTGAGCCACAGCTTCAGCAGACGACGACTGTTTCCTCTTCGTTCACTTGGGATTTTGTAAGTGCAAACTAACTGCTTCTACTTCTAACTTATCTTACTCATTTGTGCATTAAAATTACCTGCTGCGACATCCAAGTATCTGACTTTCAGATGGGAGTTATAAAGTTTTCAGTAGAATTCTTGTTCCACCTCCTCCCAACTGCAGTCAGTGGGTACGGAAGCAGAGACTGAAAACAGAGAACAGTAAATCTCAATTTTCATACCTGTTCTCACTTCATCGTTCAATTAGTCAGCTCACAGACAACTGTAAAATGGCATCCAGTGAAGCAATGTGCTTTCTTGCCTAGGATTTAAGATTAAACCAACACCCGCGCAGCTGACTTGGTTGGGTAATGTTAAAGGAAGGAGAACACTTTGATCCTGTATGCTCATAACCCGAAGACAGTACAATATCATGACCCGATACAACACAGTTTTGACAAGTGGTGCTTATTGGACCAGTTGATGGAGTGTATGGAAATTGAATTCTTCAATATATAGATTGCAAAGCGGTTCTGTAGACCACGGATTCTCTTTTGCAAACTCGAGATGTTATCAAGGGCTGTAAAGATGGAAAACATTCAAGATTATTCAGTGATGTTCAAGCGACACAAGAAACGACCAGAAAGCAAATACTTTGAAGTTTGACAGTGATATGTAGGAGTTTTAATTCTGACACTTCTTGGTTGCCCACACCGTGGAAGCGTCGACCGAGAAGTAATTTGCAACTGCTTCAACACTACAGGATACTGCAAACCTTTATCAATCTCATTCAGCAACCATATGAAGACACCACATGCCAAATGATCCACTATGGAAAGCTCACTGATGCCTTTGAAGTGAAGACAAGAGTAAAACAAGGCTGTCTACTATCAGCGATGATCTTCCTGATTGTCGTCAACTGGATCATGCAGCAAACAGTGAGGAGCGAGAAGAGGGGCATACGCTGGACCGGGGCAAAGACCCTAGAAGATTTGGATTTCGCAGACGATAATTTGTGCCTAATGTCACGCAAGCTTGAACATCTACAAGCGAAAAATAACAAGTTGACAGAAGAGGCAGGGCAGCGAAGACGGGACTTCAAGTGAACGTAGAGAAGAGCAACCAACGCCACTGCCAACAACAACAAGCTCCAATCACCATCAACAGGAGAAACTTAAAGAAAGTAGCCTCTTTCACCTACCTAGGCAGCATCGTTTCAACTACAGTCGGCACAGGCACAGATGAGGTCGTCAAAGCCAACCAGGATCGGAAAAGCAAGACAGGCGTTCATTAACCTGAAATCAGTGTTGAGATCTTCTGCACTTAGCATAAAGTGTGAACAACATCCAGATTTTCAACACCAACTTCAAGTCAGTGCTTCTGTGTGATGGTTCAGAGACTTGGCGCGTTGTGTGTGATTAATGTTTGTTTATTTGGAGTATCAATGACCCTGTTCAACATTGACGCATATTTTAATAATTAAGTTATAATATCAAGTTGTGAAAGGATTGCTTGCCGTCACTTAAAGCATATACACTTGTACTATTTGGCTTGAGAGACTTTGATTATACTCATTTAAATGATCTTGAATTACATTCAACTACTTTTCTCTTTCCTATCAATTCTGTTCTGAAAAATTATCACTTGGTAAAAACCTTTTTTCTTAGGATTAACCATTTTATCTTAAGATGCTGGGCTTACTCGGCAAAATGTTGACTTTTTTGTATGCGGCTAATACATGTGAGAATAAAGCCATCAACAAGAAAAAACAGCACTTAATAAAGAAATTTTGTAGGTGATGTGTTCATCTATTTCATAGTTGTTTTGCCTCTAACCTTACCTATATGGTAGGTCTATAGCACAATCAAAAATCATAACTAGTAGAAAAACCTCTCCCAGTAGTAGTAAGTAAAAACATACTCTCGTAACAGTGAAAGCTGGTCACAGTGTTGATATTTAAACGTTACTGCGATAGGCTAGCGAATGAACTTCCATCCTGTATGAACAATAATCATATTTCTCAGTACATTAAATGAAGAACTTTGGTTGTATATTTGAATGAGTTAAGTGAGAGACAGTACTGAAGAACTGTTATCTTGCACAACCAAACCTTGCATTAAACTATAATGCTGAAAAAATTTAATCTACCCAAGAGATACTGTTAGTCCACATTTTGCCTTATTGAAACGATTTATCATTTTATGTTGTATTAGGTGAACAAACTAAAAGTGAACAAATAATTACCTACCTGAAGATGCATTTCTAAGCATTTAGAAAATGTCAACGTTGATTTTGGGACGATATTCACGCCAAGTTCTTCACTCAACTCTTCCCAATGTCGCTGACGCATACCTGGATTACGTAGACCTTGTATTAATGGTATAAATGGTTTAAATTCTTCTATGGACATTTTTACTTGATTGGCTACTTCTTGTATGCCAGGCAATTCATTAAATATTCTTATAGATTTATGCATTGTTTTATAACATTCAACGACCAGTTTTTCAACAGCATCTGCATCAATTGATGTTAAAGGATCATTCATAACAGCTTCTTGTGTTTTCAACCAATCAGCTACACTTAGCCATAAATTTTTAAATGGTTCAAAATCTTTTATTAACCTCGGTATTTTTTCATACTATAAAAGGACAATAAGAGCGACAGTTAAAATAACAGATGAAGTCATTAGATGTTAGCTGTCATTCCTCCAACTTATTCCATTACACCAAGTTAAAAATTTATAATTCAGATGTATTGCAACGAAACTGAATATTACTTGTTAAAATAGTAAGAATTAGGCGTAGAAGGAGTCTTAAATAATATAAATCATTTACATTTTCGACCTATTGAAATGAAAAAGCAGATATCATAGATTATCGTATTACCATTACAATAAGTGATAGATTCAATACATTTGTCGGCCACCTAACTTTCAGTATCTTTCCCACTATAATTGGTGACTAACGTGAACGCATCATGTTATTCACTCCTTCAAAAAGCTAGATTCCATGCAAAACAAAGTAGTTAATAACCGGAAGTAAATAAAGAAAAATCCTGTTTATCAGCAGAATTTACCTTTTTATATTCGAATTCGTAAAAATGTTGTTGATGTTGATCCGTGGTTAATTGAAAAAGACAAGAATGAGGATTTGAGCAGTAGCATTTTTTATCAAGGTGTCACATTTTTAAATGACATACCCCAGAAATAAGTAAGAAACATGCATTTAATTGGAGGACGAGGACATTGTAGAGCATTAGCATAAGTTTCCCGCCAAATCTTTTGATATTCAGTGGCAGATGAAAAAATATTTTTATGTGCCAAATAAACGGTATTCTATCTCAGTTTTCCTTATAAGCACTCATTTGCATACACATGGCATCTGATAGCCATAACAGTAGATACAGGTATCATTGCTGACTGATTGTACTAGTTGATTTCAGTTTATGATAATAATATTAAAAGAAGGCTACTGTTCATTGTTTCGCTAGAATACCATAGACTCTGAATTCGTAGCATGTATATATCTTGGCTTCACCAACACAAATCATTCAATCTCATTAGTGACAGAACATTCTGCTTTACAGTAGTGGTATAAATTTCCGTGCATCATTGAATAAAGTATTACCTATTTATAGTTGATGGAACTATTTGAGATATCTTTGTTTTGGAAGACGGGTATTACATCAATTTCAGCTGCTCTAAACAAACTACATGACTCTCAACTTTATTGTAATCAAGCTGTTATATAAGATTTCCAGCAAACCCAATCGGCTGTCACTGGTTTATGATGAAAATCATTTTAAGATTCCCTAGAATTGATAAGTGATTTGTGATAAGCAAACGGAAACAGATAATTAAGAACTGGCACAAAATACGTTCATTCAAAGTGTCAGAAAAACAGACATGAAAAAGGTTTAAAATTTACAAAAGCAACGATACCAGTGGGAGGACAAGTAAATCTTGAAGTTTTAAGAAAGAAAAGAATAAGCAAACTTGTGTCTTCATCGTTAATTTTGAGCTGTATGCACTAAAACCCGGAACAATAAACGAAGCTACTAGAAAAATTCATGAATGCAAGCTGTATTTCAGCGTTTCCACCCTTAGCAATTTTCAGTCTAATTCCACATCATTGAAAATGGCACATTTCAGTTGGCAATGGCATGGTAGATACAACATGCGATAGATACTAATTAGCTTTAGTAAAAGATGCTTGCTATTTTGACAATTTCAATAATGAATAACCTTTATCTGAATAACAAAATTTTTGCAGAGTTCACTACAAGTAATATAAACAGTGTGTACTTATCTGTAGCCCTGCGATAAGGTAGAGCACATTTCCAGTAATGCTGTCAAAGCTCAATATTTAGAAAACGCCAATTCAAAATACGGAAGTTTATTCACTCTGTGATTTACAGGATATGAGCCGTAAGGAGACTACAAACTCCTATAAATTCATTGCATTACAGAATAGCTTCAAATAAACCTTCTGATATGCTATGTACAAATAACTTACATTTGTATTAGCCATTCCAAACAGACGTTCGCGACTATTGAATACACCTGCCATATTTTGTGCATCAGTCAGTTGTTTGTAAATTCGTCGAACTTCATTAGCCACTTCTTGGGCTTTACCAATCTCTGCATATGATGCCATCGATGAAACCATCATCTGTATGTAACGAAGAAAAAAAATGAAAAGAAGGCTTTTTGAGACTATTGAGAAATCTATGATAAAAAAAGTTGACGACCTTAATCCCCAGCTTTTTTGAAATTCGCAATCAGGAATATTCGAAATGATTGACTGACAGGATTTAGTCAATAATCACTATTGAAAAACTTGGTATCCGGTGACCAGTCAGTTCACATGACTCATTTCTACATGGGGTCAAGTGCAATGTGAGTAGTTCAAAAGTAATAGATTGGGCTGTAATATTGATCAATCTCTAGAAATCTATCACTTTATCAGGTCGCAGGCAGGTCTTGTTGGTGAGTTGCAAAAGGTAAGATGACATGAAAAAACCTGCCTACTTCCTGCATTCAACCTCCCAAAATAAAATAGTACCTCAAGACGCCTCAGAATTCATACAGCCTTAAAGACTATAAAATGTGATACTGGTTAATCTTCAGTTGATTCTGTTTCACACTATAATCATTAGGCCGTTGTAAAAATGCTTACCGTAAGTGTATCCAACTTATCACTGAATGCAGCTGATTCAGAAATTTGCAATTTTTTAAATCGTTCTTCATCTTCTTCGAGATTTTTCTCAACCTGGATCACCATTTGACGAATTTTATGAGGCCAACCAATTGTAGTCCATCTGTATTTTGATTGATAATAAAAGTGTGTGATTTGTCATAACAGAATAAATATAAACTGATGCATGAGACTATCACTGTAACAGAAAACAATACCTTGTGCAACAAATGACACATTACGCTTTAGTATGAAATTACTGCAGAAGGTGAAGGTTATTACATCAGTATTTTTTGGATTTTATCGACCTACAAATAAGTACTACATTACTGAAATTTGGAATTTTATACTATCAGATCAGACGACTTAAAATCTACTCCGTAATTAGAGCTTTGAGATTGAAATTTTGATATGATTTATTTTATTAAGTTGCAACATGTGAAAAATGTTAGTATGGCATTCAATTTTGTTTGAATAAATCTCTTTCTTGGATATGTATACGCATGTATACTTATGACAATATGTCATAACGTTATTCTGATTCATACAGCTTTTTTACTCCACTGTTTCATTACTCCATTTTCATCACATTCAGTAATTAAACTAAAGTTTGTTTAAATCATAATAGTTAACTGAATTTATTTATATTGGACTGGATTTAAATATAGAATTAGGCGGAAATTAACGTACAGAGTCAATAATTGATATGAACTAGGAAAAGAATATAAGTGGACAGAAAAATAGGTAAATTGTGTGATGTTCGTTATTTCAATCAATACAAACAGTGATACTGATCTATATCTCCGGAAACTAATTCCAGCTATTTCCACTATTCATAGCAGGAGTCAGTCACTTGTTCAGTTTCTTGTTCTGCTTCAAACTTCGAATTCCCAAAAGTATTCTGTCAACCTACTTTCAGTGTAACTGAAGATAGAAAAGTTCTGAATTTATCTCAGACTGAGTAACAACTTTTCCGTATATCTGAATGTTCTTCTGTTGGTGGACACGTCATGGGGAAGGGCACACGATCCGGATAACTGGTTCATCACAGTCAAAAAGTGGACAGTAATAAACATATACGACAGACATTCACAATTATTCACTGACGATTGACTTAATTTATTTACTGATGCAAATTACATTAGGTAAGTTTTTCGTTATGTTACGTCCACATAAAACTTGCCAAACTTTTGTGTAGTTTCCTCAGCAAACTGTGTAGTACACAACAGATTATTATTTGCGGTATAACTTGATATAAAATTGTTCGTCAGTATTTTGTAGTACTTTGACCATAATATTTATGTTGTATGTTGTTTTAAACTTGTAAGGAACATACATGTACAGTAAGGATGAATTAGGTAAACCTTTACAGCTGTCTGAATTTTTGAATTGAAGGTAACTGAATCCCATAAAACGTTGTCTCAAAGACAACGTAATTGTCAGCCAAGTAGCTAAGTAGGTTATCGTACAGTAAACTACGGGATACTACTAATCTGCTTTTGAAATTCAACCTCTACCCCGGCCTGTATATGTATAAGTCATAGTATCGTTAACCAACAGTTATGCTTTTTTAGTCGAATACAAACTTAAATAAAATTTCAAACAAACTAAAACTGCTAACTAAAAGTTGTAGAACATTCGAAGTTTTTGATGTCTCCAAGGTTATTGTTTTAAGGAATTTTCAATCGAATAGATATAAAAAAGAATGATTATTAACCTTCACACAACTTGAAACTATCATTCTCCTTTTTATAAGTTGAAAGGCTGATTAACTGATTGGATTTAAATGTTATCAGTTGATTTAGATATTCCCCTTCAAGCAGTTACTCATGAGTTTGAACCTCATTGTAGAAAGTAGTGTCTTCAGCTGACGCACAAAGCTGAAAACCAAATACACAATTTTGCACATACTTCTACGATTGTAATGTCTCCTAGTACGTCCAATTATTGATCCCGGAAAGACTAGACCATCCCAACCATGCAGCCTGGACCTACTGACGTCTCTGAAACCAACAGTCAAAGATCTCAAAAAAATGTTTGCCATGTCTTGGTCAGGCTACCCTTAGCTTCCATCCAGCCCACTCGCTTGCCAATGTATGTGTTGCCTTGCCATGTGTAACACACATTCAAAACACTTGATTTCTTGAAGGTTCAAAGCCTAAGGAGCACTTAAGTTTCATTTTAATTTTAGAATCTACAGTACTGCTCTAGAATAACTTGCGCTCTGACTGTGCTCAGGGATGAAAATCATCCATGTAATGGTAACCCTGATGATTCAGTTTTAGTTTAACTGGGATGACTACCCCCATGATTACATAACTGATTAGCCTAAGTTATAGTTTTTCGAATCCCATTCTTTCCTCATCTGTTTGAAGACACTCATCGTTTTGGTAAAACTGGTATCACGAATTCCTGGTATTATTTAGAAGACAATAAAACTTTGGTTAGTGATCTGCGCACAACTTTGTTATTATGTAATAAAATAGTCAGTGAAATTGTATGAGATGTGATACTTATCGGTATTTGATCATCGATGACTTTAAATTACCACTCAAGTGTTCCAGTAAAACTAGAGCCTGAGGTGAAGGAGGTTAATCTTTTGATGCACTTGCAAAACCTTGTTTCCAATTTGTGCTGCACATGGATAACTAAAGTTTGTCTCAATGATTTATGCTGACTGAAGAAAAAGTAAGTTAAGAAAACCCTCTTGGTGATCATTATAAGACGTAGAAACAACCAATATATCTTCTAATTCAACTTTCCGTACTCTAATATCATACTCAGATCTTCGTAACTACTTATTTACAACTATTCAGTTTCATTAGAACTCACTTTGCATTGAAGTCATCAGCAGACAAATTATAGAAGAATAAATCAATCAGTTCATAATCAGATATTGCCTTATTAATGTATTCTTGACGTTCTTCCAATTTATCTGGTACTGTGGTAATCCATTCACGTAATTCCGTTAATTCTTCAATTGAATTCGGTTTTTCGTACAATCTAGCAGCAATAGTTCTCAATTCTTCTGAAGCCTTAGTATGATAAAAGGTATGGATACAATGAGAGGATTAGTAATAAAATGCAGTAAGTATTTGATATTTATCAGAAGTATCTGATATTTTGTCTTAAAACTAGTTATCACACTTACAAGTTATTCACCTGAAGAGTAACTATATGAAGTATTTAAGCAAATTTATTAATTATAACTAACCATTTTGAAGTGATAAGCTGAAAATTAATTGAAGATGAGAATGTCAGACAGCACAACAGGATCTGTTTCAATTTCTCATCTTCAGTAGACAGAGAGAAAGGTATCCATACAGGTAGATAGACAAACAAACAAACGGACATACAAAGGAAAGAAACTTGCAGAAGAGGCATGGATTCAAGTCTACGTAGTCTACAACAACGTAAAGAGGAGACAAAGTGGGGCAGGTACAGCTACATCCGGCTTACGAGTTCCGAATAAGACGAAACATGTGTCGTAGATTCCACTCTGAGTCACTAGGATGAATACAACACTTAAAAGATACGTACAATAATACTGGTATAGAAAGAAATATAATACTTAAAATAATGAGTAACTGTGTCATTGTGATCACATTCGATACATGTTAAAACAGATCTCAAAGCATTTATTGACAAGATCTTGAAGACATCAGAGAGGCTCCCTACACTGCTTAAAATAAGGGAAAATTACCTGATTTTTTGATAATGCATTCTGTTCTGGTCACGTTGAAATAATCCTTCTCTGATCACTATTCAGAACTACAGAAACCATGGAATTTCCAAGGAGTTTTGAATTCATTTGTACTAACATACAGTCACATCACTCATCAAGAATATGAGAACTTTAAAGATTATTTAACATTCACTTTCATGTAAGACAGGATAATGTGTTAATATATTGCCAAGATTTGTGGGATTTATTTATTTCAAACTGTACATATAGAAGGGTTCAGTAGCGCTACAATCAACAATTGTCAACAACCTCCGCATAGAGTAGTGGCAGTTTGAAAAGTCTTCCAGGTATGAAGGTCTAACAACTTCAGATCACAGCTACTTAGAGGTGACTTTAATACCTGTTATAGTACATTTTTGGGCACTTAAATGAGCATTTAGGTTGAAATTAATAAATTTTCTTCGATAAAGTGCCTGTACTTGGACATAAGTTACCAAAACAAAAGATATTCTAATGGATGGAGAATACGATCTGCAGGACAAATGCGAAGACGATCTAGAGGTAATTTGTTCGCATTGGTTGTAATATCGGTTTCGCCGATCTGTAGTGGTATATATGTTTCATTGATGCTAATTATTAGGACGAAAGTGGACAAAGTACAAAGCCGCGCAGTGACAGTAAGATGATAGAGTTGTCTCTTTCAGCATCTAGTAGAGTTGCAGTAAACGATTTTCACAATAAAAGGTGAACCAACAGGTGTTTGGTCAGGACTTGAGGAGGAATTCTTATGGGATGAACTGCATACACTTCAGAGTTACTCTGGCGTCTAAATCCGACTTGGAATTCACCAAACTAAAGATTAACCAGTCGTTAACATTTTTCTTTCAAAGATGTAATTTTGAATCGTTCTTATTCACAACTGACACTACCAATAAGTGTAAGAGAGTTATCATCCTCGTTTATCGCCGATCTTGGATAAAGGTAACTTTCGTTGGTGATTTCTAAGGTGATGCCTCAGCAGTTTCGAGTGCAGTCACTTGCTTTCCATGGAAGAACTATGTTGAATTATTCATCCAACAAAACTGAATGCCGTCTGGTAATCAACAGGCATATATTTTACGTATCAATGTGAACAACAAAATCAGTTTTACAAAATGTTCTTTGTAAAGCCTGAACAAAGGACCAAAAGTAAAACTAGCATTTAGATCATAATTAAACGCCATAATATTGGTAGAAGTGTGATTAACAGAATGGGACATAATAGTGAGATTCAAGAAAGATGGTTCATTAAGAGAAGTTTTGGAGTATGTGAGTATCAAGGTAAACTTAATGTTCGAGGAAATGATACCAAAAGAGTAAGACAAGTAATAATCACACTGCATCTACCTCAGACGGTGTAGATTAACAGCCTTATCAATAAGTGGATGATGCAATCACGATATTTCTTCGTGAGTGTAATAAGTAAAAACACAAAAACTTGACATAAGCCTTGATAATTTCATGGGAATGTTTCCTTATCTCTTTTAAATGGAAAACTTACTGAATCGGCTTGCTTTCTTAACTGTCTAGCCAATAAGTCTAATAAGGCACTGATTAATGCTTTACACTTTTTTGATAGATTTTGTCGTACAGGTTCAGTATTCACATAAAATGGACCAATTATAACAAAACTAGGTATAATTTGTTCAACGTTCTCTTTTTCTTCTAATTCTTTTTCAACTTGTGTTTTAATTTCTAATGGACTTTGATTTCGTAATTCATAGACTCTGTTAAAAAAGAAGGTGGAAAGAAAAGGGGTACATGATGCTGAAATATAACCATCAGCTTAAATAAATCGATCAACGTTCAGAATAAGGTTCTAGTGAAGTTTTAGAATGGAGATACTAAATGATTCAGTAATTCTTGGTGAAATAATTTCACAACAAATTAAGTATACCGAGATTAAAAACACTAAAATAAATACCACACCAAACAGTTTTACTTTAATGATAAAGTGAATGCCCAATTCATTTGGGATATGTTAGTTCGAAGTATTTGTGAACTGACTGGTAGAGTCAGATATTAATAAGAATTCGGAGTAAGTCCATGATGATGCATATTTGTACCTGCTCTTCTCTTGTACTGATCAATGTGATTACCTCATCAAGTGAAGTCATGATCTAGTTTTTTAGCGTTGTTTATTGGTAAGAAGTCATATAAGATATCACTGGTGTTGCAACCAAAATGAATAAGGAATGACTTAACATCTACTACATCAGTGATAATTTTGCACCTCAAACTTATTTCAGTTATGACAACGGTTATGCATTTACTGTTATTATTTGCACAGATGATCAAAACTGTATTTTAAAAAAAGTTTTCTATGGTAATTTACTTGGTTGTGGCTAGGAAGACACGCGTTTCTTCTTATTTGTGGCTCGTCAGCTGCACGTACCTGCATCCCAGTGAGCGACATTTTTCTCATTGAGGCTCGAGCCACGTCCCTTTCGCTTCAAAAGCCAAATCGTTATCTACTAGGCCACTGAGACAAGGGAGCCACCTCTTGTACAACAGGTATTAGTTACAAATATTTGTTGATTTACTTGTAATTGTTTGTTGTTATACTGGATCGAACTGTTCGACCTCTATTGGCATATGCACACGCCTTGATATTGCGTTTGAAGCGATGGGTACTGGGTTTGAGTCTCATTGGGAAAAATCACTCACTGGGGTGTAGGTACATCTGGTTGACGACTTCTGAACAAGAAGAGGTGAGTGTTCTAGATTTCTCTGCTAGCAATAACCAAGTAAATTACCATAATAAATATTTAGGCAATATTGAGGCATCCGAAGAGGAGTCCGTATGTCAACAGAAAATGCCTTTACTGGGGAATTCCTTTTAATTTTATTCTAATAAATAATTTCAGTAAATGATAAACATATCAAGAAATTGATTGCAAATGAACAGATTTTCAGGCTTTCTTGTGGACAGTAGTATTTACACCTCCGTTTTATCCTCGTTTGGTTTCGCAAACCAACATAGCTAGTTCTCCTTCATTTGTGAACTGGATTGCGTCATACCATATTCGACACTTAGACTAGGTCACCTCGTCCCATATCAGTGAAAGGCAGGTCTGGTCAAATAATTAAGTAACAAGGCACGAAGACCGACAAATAAAGTATATAAAGAAAGTATGATTGCTAACAATTACGGCCATGAAATTATCCAGAAATACATAGAACATTTGTAAACCAAATAACATGAATAATAAAATTCAGAATCCATTTTAGTGAGTAAAGAATATTCTTTTCGATAACTTCTTCATCAGGCCCTACAGTTATATGTACATATTGAGGAAATACGCGTCAACAATATTGATGTTTCGCTTATCTCCTTGTTCGACTTTCTCAACTGTATACTGTTATTATGCAATTTTTCGATAGTAAAATTATAGACTCAAAGTGTTAGCGACTAAACCATGGAGAAGGCTCTTAAAGCCACCAAAGATTTATCATTATTAGGAAGGGAGATAAGAAGCTCAACGTAGGATTCTTAATAAGGCTAGGATCACAGTGGGACTTGAAACCGCAAATTAATCTAGAGAAAAACTTTATCAGCTAAGACGGACAGTCCAACGAACAAAATCAAAGTAAAACCAACTTGGCACTAAAGTGTGTAACTTCAACTTGCTACATTTCACAGTAGCCCGCAAAGAATAATTGAGAACGAAAAGGGATAACGAAATAGACAGATATGTCCAAGCTTTAGAAGAGGTCGTTGAGTGAATATACCTGCACCACTGTGATTGATTTTCAGCCGTGTCATCGAGGGCCTCCAACCATTGATGTCTGTGGTTTCGAGGACCCCAACCAGGCAGTCTGTGTCTCCTTGCACCACTCTGAACAGCTGTCAAAGAACTAAGTGGCTGGCACCACGTCTTCATCTGGTCACCCTGGGTCTTCTTCTAGCCTGATTCAGCTTCTTCTAGCGTTACGTTTCAAGGCAGATGGTGGATCGGTATGCGCAACACATGTCCAAGTCACTTTAGTCGATGAAGATTAGCAACACATCGATTGACTTGTCCTTCTTGGTTATTAACCCTTATCTAATCTCGAAGTCGCCCACAGGATGACTCCACCATAAGTGGGAAATAATGTGTAGATGCATGGAGTCGAGAACCTGCAGTCTTTTCATATCTTTTACTTTTGGCAGCCATATTTGAAAGCTGAATAACAGGACAGAACAGACTGAAGTGCATTATACTCGTCCCTTAGTAATTATTTGAATATCTTGCCAGTGTTAGAGATGACGCAAGTTGGCAAATGCCAAACGAGGATTTTGTATCCGTGCTTTCGTCAGTAACCAGCCCATTCGTGTAACTCCACAAGTAAGTGATGTGGTCGGCGCATCCCACAACCTCATTTCCTATCGTTGAACTGGGTGTAGATGCAGACTATTCCTGGCGAATCACGTCACATTTGACAGATGCGGAACACTTGAAAATATACTCCGATTTCTACTCACAGAGTTCAGAAAAAAAGGATAATATCATCTGCGTATTCCATCCAAGTCAGCCAAATACCCTATAGAAAGCAGATCAGTCCATGTACCTTAAGTTATGTCTATTAATACATCTGTCATGAAACTAAGCAGTAATGGTGACAGAGAATTTCTCCAGAGGACATCACTAGTTGTAAATTCAGACGAAAAATCTCCATAAGCCTTGATATGGCTGCATGGGATCCAGTAGAGAGCTTCGATTAGCGTCACATACCCCCTCCATAGTAAGAGTAACACAGGTCCCAGTCAACAAAGGCAAATGCTGCTTTCAGGTCAGGAAATATGACAGGTGTCGGCCGGTGGCATGTATGCCTACGTTCTATAACCTGTCAAAGTATGAAAGTCTGATCTATGCACTCTGGTCTAGATGTGAAACCTGCTTCGTCCTAATAAGTTTGCTGTTCTCGAGCTTCAGTTAAACATCGGATAACTATGGACCCAAGGATCTTGGACACGAAGTTAATCAAACTGATTCCCCTATGGTTATCACAAGAATAATTCTTTCTTTTCGTCTGAATTGGAATGGTCAATGAAGTAGACTATTCTGACGGGATTACCACTAACTTCCATGCACTACCTAGTACATTCATCACTCTAACCAGCAATTTCTTACCTCCACTTTTAGGAACTTCAACTGAAAAACTATCAGGCCCAGCTGCTTAGAACCGTCTCGGTTAGAGGTGGCCTTACAAATTGCGAGGAGAAATGGAGGATCGGCATCAAATTACCTTCCAGTTTCAGGTTGGAAGCTGCAAATTGAAGAGTTTTTGTGGATCAGTTGAACTGTGCTTCAAAGTGTTTCATCCGATGCTTCGGCCACCTGTCGTGAGAGATTATCAAAGTCCCATTCTTTTTGATAATGGTCTCAAGAACCATTGTCTTCTTGCCATAAGCTTTAACAAGTCCTAATAATGACAGGATGTTACCTAATGTGAAACCTTCCCCATCTCTCTTGCTTCCATAACCTGCTGAGGTTTGAGCTGCTTTTGTTCCTTCTTGTGGTCAGGGACAGTTGGAATAAGTTCGCGTATCAATCAGTTTGGATAAAGTTGTGGAAATCCACTGACGATTACTAACATTTGGATGTAGGTTTCAACCTGTCTTCACAACTGTTTCTACAACAAACTGAATATTGTACCAGGTTTCCTCAGGATGAGGACTCCAGTCATGTTCAGATAAATCCCTTTTGTCGGCTTCAGCAACCTGTCAAACCTATTAGGCAAACGATTTAGTTTACCAAATTCTATCTGGCAAGTATGAGGTCAAATGCATAGGTCAAATTAGCCAACCGGAGTCAATTAGGACAGCAGAACAAAGAAATCTAGCTAAACATGGAATGGTGCGCCGTAATAAGATAAGAAGCCTAGAAAGGAGACCCACCATAGCCACGTTTGCTGTCACAGGTAGTCATACAAGAGAATGGAATATAGTGACAATTTCATTAGAATAACTTAGGTAGACGGAAACAGAGGTTGACAAACGGATAGATACACAAAATCAAAGTAGCACCTAGCGCACAAGTGAATCGGCTCAACTTGCTAACTTAAGCTTATTTATTAAATTGACATCTGATGCAATATGTGTAATAAAAACGAGGTAACACAAATTACAGATGTGTGAAGAATCTTACCAACAATTATATCAAAGGATGAAAAGTAACAGAGCTACAAAAACGAGAGCAGAAAATCATGTGACTACCTTGATAAGAATATGCGCGATAGATTATCCTCCAAACGCCATCCAGGAAGTAACAGTGTGTCACAGTACCCTCATTAACAGACACTGTTAAACATTAGTAACTAGAGGAAATGATATTGGTTACTAAAGCGCATTCAATAGCCTTATAGGGAATATTACTGGGGGATGATTGAAGGTAAAATCAAGATTTGGACAGCGGCCGGATTGAACCAGCTACCACAGGGGCTCCAACCCGGTGCTCTACCAACTGAGCTACGAAGGAATGCATTGCTTCATTTCTTGTTGAATAGTATTTACATTCTAAAAGATGGCAATGAAGCATATAAAATTCCAACCTTTCCCACTCGAAGATGACTCACGAATATTATGGTTGACTGGTGCTCACCTGTTTTGTAGATGTTTTACATAAAGACTAGATTGATTAGATCACGTTAATCAATCTCAGAAATACTCCTCATTGTTTTCTAATGCACCCCAAATTGCGTTTGCATTTGGTAGCAGAGTGTTCATTTTTGCAGATGTCTACAAAATTAGGCTGGTGTAAGCTTTCTTTTTCAACCTGACTGATATGGGAAACGCTACTTGCTTAGCATGTACTAACCCGCAAATTTTGTGGAACCCTAGTAAGAAAATCAACCACTGTAGTGTTGTGGAACGTTATCACCTGAAACATTTGAGTAGTAGTTCAAATGACCCACCAGTTCTCATTGGCTATTCTCTCTGCAGTAAAATCCAGGTAACTGTCTGTTGTTTTTGGCAAATTAGGCGCAGTTTACCCTGAAAGCATTACTGGGTCAACATACTATAAAATCTGAACTCCTGACAATATATTAAAAATCGTTAAGTTAATGAAAAAACTGTCAAAAATTGAACTATAAAGAAACAAAATCAAGTCAATGAACCACTGAACATCTGAAGTGTTTTTTAAGTCTAAATAGCAGTCATTCAGAAACATCAACAGTTTTAGGCAGATATCAGCTAAAAGATCAGAACAAAAGCCAACGATTGAATACGTAACAAAAAAATGATTTCGTGTTTTACCTTAGGAACTCACTGCAAATTAAAGTTTACATATCATATGGATGTTTAATGAATAAAAAATTATTGGTTAAACTATATTAAATTAAATTTTAACATACATTCAGATTAACTACACAAATGTAAGAGGTCCAAAATATTTGAGAATAGCACTTTCATCCCAATTTAAAAGATAATAGTCAGACAAGAAGTAATCTGAGTAAATGCAAATACTGATTCTTGATCGACAACTTCAAGACAGATGTATTATTGGGTACTTCAAGCTTAATACGTACGAACAGCATTGAAAGATGTTATCAAACTAAACTTTGATGCATCATATTTCTTGAGTGAGTCAATATTTGATTTTGCCACATAATACATGGTCATTTTATAACATTACTCTCCAACTATTGTACTTAAAACTAAAGGTGTTTCTACAAGTTGTGGTACCTTCAGCAAGTTACACATTTACTGTTACAGACAGCATTCCTCAGTGAAATCTAAGCCTAATAAATAGATTATACAGTACAAAGGTAAGGTACATTTAAATCTGAACTGCTATGAAAAATTAAATCATTTAGTCGGTAGTCACATACAGTCGGCAAATAAAAGTTATTCAAAATGCAAACTAATCCAATACCAGCGGGTAACGACTGAAAGTGATTGACTGAATAAAACAGCATGCAATCTTGTATAATTCTATATCAGTCCAATCTAAAACATTTCTCTTACAAGAATGGTGAACAAAATCATTGAAAATATGATACCACTGTCTCATGTCCAACTGAATGTTTTCTATGTGTCCAGATACTACGCCTGGGCAAGTCAATTTCTCATCAGAAATATTCTGAAACTTGATGAAATTACATAGCACCCTCTAAGGAACTATTTTTGGATAATGAAGTCTTCCTATTCGTCTCTGTACCGTGAAGGTATGAAGAGGGATTCTTGAAGTAGCTGTACAAAGATCAAATTTCAGTCATGTTTATTCGACAGTCTACTGGAAATTTCTTATTTTTGTAGCACAACAATGTCACTGACTTTTTAAAGAATGAAGTGAATGAAGTCACAGAATGATATCTGATAGCCAAAGGTACAGTAGATAATCCAGTTAAAAAATACTTCAGTAGTTACAGAAAAGAATCTATCAGATTGAGACACTTTTCGCTAAACTTCTTTGAAATTACTCATTCAACTGTCAGACATCTGAGTAACTTAAATTCACAAAATTTCTTCATAAGCTATAGAAGAACGTAGTGTAAATGAAGACAGTGCTTTAAACTCAAATAGTAAGTGATGTGGTTTCGAAGGTTTATAACCTAAACGTCACAAATAACGAATGTTTGATTGCCCTTCCAATTTTATATTATCCATAAAAAACTAGAGGAGAAAAGAACAAGGGGAAGACTTCGAAATAAGACTGACTAAAAAACTATTCGTGTATAGATAACAATTTGTGAGTCGTTACTTTCTGGAATGAAGTACTGGGCAGCAGAAGAAGTTCTCTATCTCTCTCAGTCATCTAAAAATTTATAAACCTTACATTATAACTCAGTGACAGATAGTGGGTTTATAAAAGGCTTCTTTATTCGTTTATTAAACTATAAGCCATATTTATTGTATCACAGTTATTGTAATCCCTTAGTGTCAGAATGTGACATGCAGTTTGGTACGCATGATTCAAGTGGCTGAAATTTTTCAGTTTAAAAACACTCTGTTAAATGTAAACTAGGAATAATGTATTTCATGATAAGTCGGTGGCATAGTAATTAAATTCACTAAAAGAGATTGCTGGACAAAACACTGACTATATAAAACTTCACTTTGTTACTTGTAAAAAACTCAAAAATGTTTCTAATTTAAAAAGATATTCTTCAACTTGTGTAGCAATAAAAATGACTAACTTTAAATATGCATTTATATCAAGCAGTGTAAGTTCCATGAAACGTTCATATTGTTTAGCATATGCCCTCATGGGAATCAAAGCGGAATGAATATATTCCTTAAGTTGTTCGCGCAGTTTTTCAACAGGCGGTTCACGTATACCAACAGCTTCCAATAGTTGTTTTTCGGCACAGGTTATACCTTCTATAACATACTGAAAAATTACCATTTTACAATTAATTAAGTCAAACGGCTGATAAAACGATAAAACAGCATGTAATTGAACAGATAAACGAAACTTTCTTAGAATAAGTTCCTTTTCCATGTGAAGTTCTTGCATGTAAGCAGAACATTGCATGATCCACCCAACTAGTGCAGTGGTTACAACTGCCACATCTTAAAAAGATATTTGACTAATCAAAACTGATTTAATAGAATGAAAAGTGGAGACAGATAGCAAGCTTATAATTTCAACGATGAAGAGTAAAAGCAAACATGTCATTTTGGTTGGTTATCAGTTTTATTCTCATGTGCATTCAAACACCGAACCTTAACTTCTTTAAAACACCAGAAACGTATCTTGAGCTCTCCTCAAGGAGGTGGATTTTCGTCATCGGAGATAACTCGTTCAAATCTCATCCGAATTCGATTTCATTTAAATTCGATGCTTACCCTTATACAATAAAAACGTTTGTTTAAAGTTGTAATAAGTATGTGTAAATAGTGCAATCAGCTTTGTAAAAATGTAAGAGTAAAACTAAGACTAAACTATTTTATTTCCAGTGTGAACTACAGATGTTAGTAGAATGAAGTGTTGATCATATATGATAATAATAATAATAATAATCATTATTATTATTATTTGTCCCTTGGGTTCCTAGTGGAACACAGGGCTTCAGTGACACGTCTCCATTGCACTCTCTTCTCTGTAGTCTTTTCAACTCGGCTCCACGAATGCCCTAAACCTTTCATTACTTCATCACATGATTTTCACGCTACTCTCGGGCGTCCACCGCATCGTTTCCCATGCAGGTTCCTCTTGAGGGCCTGGTCTGGCGTGTAATGTTCTTAACCGGTTTTCTCAATGTATGCCCAATTCATCTCCACTTTCTCCTGCATATTTGTGGGGCGATAGGCTCTTCGTTGGCTCGTAGGCAAACCAGAGTCCCTTGTTGCTTATTCTTTTCGGCAATCTGATCTTCAGTATGGAGTGAACGTAGGCGGCAGCTGTTGGTGATAGTTTATAGTTTGTTGGAAATGCTTTCTGTGAAGCTCTAAGTTTGTGTACCATATAGAAGGAAGCACTGACTTGACTGAATTAGTGTTGAAAATCTGGATGTTGTTCACGCTTTATGCTGAGTGGAGTTCAGTAGATCTCCACACTGGTTTCAGATTAATGAAGGCCTGTCTTGCTGTCTTCCCAATCCTGGCTGGCTTTGAGGTCCTCATTTGTGCCTGTGTCTCCTGTAGTTGAAACGATGCTGCCTAGGCAGGTAGGTGAAAGAGACTACTTCATCTAGATTTCTCCCATTGATGGTGATTGGTGCTTGTAGTTGTTGTTGTTTGGGTATCTTCATCACCTCTGTCTTCTCTACGTTCATCTGAAGGAAGTCCCGTCTTCCTTCACTGCCTCTCCTCTTCTATCAACTTGGTGGTTTTTCCCTGTAGATCTTTGAGCTTGTGCGACACTAGACGTAAATCGTCATCTGCGAATTCCAAACCTTCTAGGGTCTTTTCATCGGTCCAGCCAGCGTATGCCCCTCTTCCCGCTTCTCACATTTTGTTGCACAATCCAGTCGAGTCCAGTCGACCATAATCAGGAAGAACATCGGTGATAGTAGGTAGCAGCCTTGTCTTAATCCTGTCTCCACTTCAAAGGCATCACCTTGCTTTCCATTGTGAATCAGTTGGCTGGCATGTAGCATCATCTCATCATATAGCTGTTGAACGAGGTTGATAAAGGTATGTGACACTAAAACTGTAGTGTTGAAGCAGTTGTCAAATTACTTCTCGGTCGACGCTGTCGAACTCCTTTTCAAAACGATGGGGTTGAAGTAGATAGTTGACTGCCATTCTATGCTCTGTTTTATGATGATGCGTAGCGTAGCGTTGGAATTTGATCCGCACATGACATGTTCTTCCTGAAGCCAGCCAACCTGTTCCGGTTGTAATTTTGAATCCAGAGCATCATTTAGTCTCTCTAGGATGATGCGGCTTAGTATTTTGCTTGGGATGGACAGAGACAAGAGCATGATTCCTCACCAGGTTTTGCAAAGACTATGGTCGCTCTTCTTCGGGAGTTTGACAAGATAGCTCTTCTTCCGATCAATCAGCAGGTACCTCTCCCTCCTTCCTTCCGAACCTTCTGCAATAGTGGTGTGAACATGTCCACTGTTGTCTCTGCGTCTATTTTCACTGCTTCTGGAGGAATTCCATCTGGTCCTTCTGCTTTCCTGGAATGCAGCAAACTTATGGCGTTCAGGACTTCACTTCCACTTTTGTCAGAGGGTTTGTGTTCACTGGTAATTCTGTGGCTCGGATGCTGGTGATATTTGTGGACGAGTTGTGGGTGGTAGTGATGGTCGATTCAAGAGTTTTTTGAAGTGGTCGGTACATTGTTTCCTCTGCTTCTCCTCTCTCTTTGGTAAATATGTTTCCTTCACTGTCTTTCACTGGTTCCATCTGTTGTCGGGGCTCTGTCTCGCCTACCTGAAAGGAAACAGTACATTATTCATAAAGGAATGCGCTCCACTTCATTGCTTACTGAAGCTATACTTTCTCCTTTTCTGTTTTCCTTTTTTTTGCACGATTTGCCTTATTCTGTTGAAACAAATTTTATCAAGTATGCTGACGACCTGACGATTTCTATTCCAGTAAACTCTTCTTTGGATTGCTCGAAATTAAATGAATTCTTGTCTGAAGTTGGTAAATGGTCTCTCTCAAATGGCCTCAAACTAAACCCCTCTAAATGTCAGACAGGCGTAAACAAGACTTATGTGAGCTGCTTAAATCTCATGACGCCTGCTGCATCAATGGTATTTCTGCAGAAAGTAAATCGAGTGTGAACTATCTTAAGTTGCATTTTACTTCGTCCCATATTTTATTGACTTGTAAAAAAATCTTTCGTTTAACTTATTATGTAAAGAAATTGAGGCTTTCTGGTATAACATAACTGCTTCTTTTACAATTTATTAATTCCTACATTTTACCTATTCTTCTATATTGTTCCCCATTAATCTTTCCTGGTCTTCTAAAAAGGACTACGTTATGTTGCGTAGGACTTTGAAGACCGTCAGCAGGGTGAGTGGTGTGTCTCTGGCTCAACTGATTAACACTTTAGTTGATCGACATATAAATTCCTGCAAGCTACTAGCTACAGAAATTTTAACTGACAGTGAGCATCCACTTCATTTACAGCTCTCTCCATGTTCCTCCTCAGGGAGGACAAGGAGAAACTACATAAGACGACTGTATGCTCGTACAGCTAAGTATAAGAATTCGACTGTACCTTACCTTGCACGCATATTTTGTGAGGAAAAAAGTGTTAGAACAGAAATCACACATCAACTTTGTGACAGTTAAAAATCTCATTTCAATAATTCAACTTACAATGCAAAATTTTCTCGTTTTTAATATTCTTCACATAACTTAAATTTTTATAATAAAACAATTCAAAAGGCTGCAAAGTAGTATGTATATACTTATATTTTGTTGCTATTGCAATATATATTACGCTGAGCATTCCTAATTGAACCTTAAATTGTTTGGAATAAAGTGAATTATTATTATTATTATTATTATTATTATTATTATTATTACCTGCAGTCTGTTCTGTTTCATTTGCCGATGTGTCGTGGAAGTGTCTTTTGTCTTTGAGCGTACTATTCTTCACTTCTTTGTCCAGTGTGGTGTTTTATAGGTTGTGTTCATTTCCTTTTTTCATTGTTCATCCCTGCACTGCACTGTACTGGTTTATCTTCAGCTTCACCATCACCATCTTCCTCTCCCTCCTCTGTCAGCTTCCATGTATCCGTCGAGATCCATTTCTTGTCTTGTTTCCTCTTCCTTCCTAATACGGTTATCCAGGTTTCTTTCCACATCTCTTTCAAAGAGTCCTAGTGTTCTTCCAAGCCCGATCCTTTAGGGATGTTCCTCAATGTCTCCCATTTTGTCTTGACAACTGACTTGAAGATGTCCTTTGTAGTTTTATCCTTCACTTTCTGTTCTGGGTGTGGAACTTGAACTGTGGTCTTTCACTAACTTCTTCGAAGGCTATCAACTTGATTTTGATTTTGATATATATATATACAAAGCTTCACAGAGTATGTGCATTGCCGAATACTCTTGGAACCTAGTTACGTAAGTGACGCTGGGCCTCTACGGGGTTCTACTGGATTTCAGCCAATCACCGCTTCAGTTGACTTAGCGGTAAACGTGGTCAAACACATCTTTATGCCCTGCACGGACCAACTAGTATGCAGTCAGGCTTGTGCTCAGTCAGCCAGTCCTAGGAGTACAACTCCCTAATTTCGGTAGTCACTAGTACCGAAGCAATCCCAAGAGAAGTGTATGTGGTTTATTTTGTGAATGTGAGCGGTAGTGGGTTAGGAATCGCCGGCATCGTTTGCTGTAGCCATGTCTCAAGGATAACAGGGTGCTGTAGAGTGAGCTTGTAATTAAGTTTCGGTGAAACCGGGGTTTTTCGCTCGCTAGTTGTACTGCATCACTAACTGCAAGATTATGGACTATAAGTTAGACGCATCCCACGCACGTGTGCCCACTTGAAGGCAAGTACACTTAACAACCCAATAACCCGGCAAACGCGGATACGTTGGGGCTTAACAGTTGTGGCCTGGGGTGCATTCATTGAAGAAATCAAATTAGTGGAAGCGTTAACCTGAATCCTCTGGCAGGAGTGTTCGTTTTCATATGGAGTCATTACCAATGGATGTTTCTTGCTTGGTAAGGGGATCGATCCTTCAGGTTCAAGAGACGATAATGTTCCTAGAACTGGGAGCTGAGCTGAAAATTGGAGTAATATTTGACTATATATATAAAGACTGTGATCCTTAAGGAAGGTTAAAATTAAATAATAGGAGACTGGAACAACAATGATGGTGGTTATACTATTAGTCCTGCTAGTTGATGACGTTTGAGTTGAATGATAACAAAAGAGATTACGTAAGATTTTTAAATCGGTCAAAAGGTGCCTTTTTACATTTAATAATTTCTGATGTTACTATATTTAATCTTTTCAATAATTGCAACTTTTAACAAAACATTTTCAATTTATTCGATTATGAGGTTTATTTAATTGATTTCAGGTGGCTATTCATCATGGAATGATATCAGTTGGAGAAACACTGGAGACTTGGGAGCACTGGACAGCTGTTTCGTCCTAGTATGGGACTCCTGGGCAGTGCACACCCATGACCCTGTCATGAATTAAACTCAGGACCTGATGGTCCTGTGGCCGGCGCGCTACCATTGAACCACTGGGTCGGAATTCAGTGGTCATGAGATTTTAAGAAATCCTACGCAACTCCTTTTTGTTATTGTTCAAACTTAAGGTCATCAACTAGCAACATTATTATTATAACCATCATTATTGTGATAACAGATCAAACTATAAAGTTCCTGGTTTGACTTTATGCGTAATTATCAAAACAGATCGTTACAACAAACTTTTTCTCCGTCAGACCTAATTCCTCAAAAACAGTACTGCTCCTTGTTTGTTAGACAGTATTATCGAAACAGCTATTTTAGACATATTGAATCCAGGAATTAAAATAATGTGATAATAATTTTCAAACTTCTGAAAGCATACACCATCAAAAGTATGATTCGCTAGAACAAATCGATCTGAGTAAAGAAACTTCCATGGACTGAAAAATGAATGCGTTATAATTAGTCGGTGAAATATAAAAATCAAAATCAGAGACAAGTGGACAGACTTACTTGTTCAATTTGCGGTACATCTTGTACAGAGTTTATAGCTTTATTAAATAGATTAACCAGGCTATTAGGAAATTGTTCAAGTGATGTACTGTAATGTGGTCCATCTGCATCCAATACAAGATCCACTAAAAATATTGGATTCTTTTTTGGTCTAGTGTACAAAATAATAAGCAAAGAATAAAAACACAAAAGGGAAAATGAAACACAGAACAGAAAATTGTTGACGCAAGTGTATATAAGCATAACAGCCTGTTGTATCCCATTTGGATGTACACATTAGATGAAATTTTGGTTGTACTTTGTGAACATCTGTTTGCTTACAGTTTATTTATTCGATTTTCCGACCCAACGAATGAATCAAACAATTTGTACATGCTTATTGTGACATATGGTTGAATCAACATATACCTGAGAAAGGAGGTGGTGAACAGCATGTGTAGTTGAGCACGTTTTTGCATCAGTTGAATGGGGTGGAGTGAACTATATATTCACCTTAGTTGACCCTCTTTCATAAACACTTTAGTCAACATCAAGGCAACCAGCTGAAAAATATTTATTATTTTGATAACTGTTATTTCTGTTTTATCACATTTATATTTGATCTATTTGAAATACCTTCCACTCAACAACCATGGTTTCTGTTGGTAACAAAAAGACCAGACTTGATGGTTGCACTTATGCGCTTTCAAAGATACGCTAGTTAACATCACAATTTAGCTATCAAAGATTGGTTAATTACAGAAAATGTTAACAGTAATTGTAATATTTGTGAATGGTTTCCGTCATGAGAACTATTGTGTTAAGAATCTATAGACTCGACAATAATTCAAATAGTTATTTGTACATAAATTGTTGTATAAACCGTATCCATAGCAGCTTTCTTTGTAACCAAACCAACCATAGCTCTGAAATTTATCGCTCATTTGCCATTCCGACAGCGGTCATAAGTAGGAATGAAAAAATTGACAGCCAAATAACTAGTAAACTGTCACTACCCATATGAACAAATATTATCCTTCATAATCTACGGATATTTTGAATTGACATCAGAAAAGCCTATAGATAATTTTCAGGTTCCCTTTGACATGCAAAGTTTGTCAGACGAAAGAAGATCAGACTTCAAAATCTTTTCAAACCTTTATGGTACATACCTAAGGATATTATGAAGATAGATGAAGTGACTGATTGACAGTGACAAACCAACTTAGAACACTGAACATAAGTGTACTGGAGCAAGTTGCCACACTTCACAGTGGTACACAAAGAACAGGTGGATGGAAAAATGTGATATCAAAGTAGGCGGTATATGACAGAATAAACAATCTGAAGATGACAGTTAGTGCAAATATCCAAGCTTAAAGACATCAAAGGATTGAATGGATTTAACTTCAGCTCCTATTTTCCGATAAAAATATGGACATGTGAGTTAATACTATTCGGCCAACCAATTATTTCCAGAGGTTAGTTTCCTCTTTCCCCTCATTTTATTTGATTTAGCCATCACACAATGTTAAGTGGGGCACCGTTGTAGTCAAGTGGTTATCAGGTTGCCAGACAAACACTGACCGCACATCTGAGTCTTCCAGTGGGCTGTTAGCTCTTTCACTCAGATTTGCACGTCATCATGAATCGGTGGTTTTAGAATTTATTAAGCGCGTTTCGAGATCCATACCTCTTATCACGTGAAGTATATAATGATCAGCAGTGATTTTAGGACTTATACTTTCATTCCCTGACTGTAAAATCATATGGTCTGTTGAATCATACTTCTGAATTGTAAACATGAAAATAATAATTTTAGCTGATATCTTGCATCAACCTTCACTACTATTTTATAATGTAACGGAAATGAAAGTGGCTGGCGATGAGCTTTTAAGATCCTAAATTATAGAGTGGTCACTAGTGGCCATTAGTTCCATACAAAAGTGACAACCAATGATTATAAGGAATGTAAGATGAAGAGAAATATCCAGTGTTAAACATACGCCAAACTACTTGTCATTAGATCGTTGGTCCACTCGTATTCAGCTGGTAGATGCAGACAAGAAATGCAAGCATCACGTAGCATATTTGTAAAGTTTGTCAATGAATCCATCACTAGGAAACGTAGTGCATCTTGCATGCAAAATTTAATCATTTCCATAAATTTTTTCAGTTTAGATTGACTGTATACATAGAAATCAGTTTCGTATATATTGAACCATCCTTTCCCAGTATCACGAAAACAAGTGCGTATGTGTTTACGAAAATTTTCCAACCAGGTATCCTATAGAAGAAAAGTAGAAAAAAAGCGGTCACAATCACTTCACTCCTATATCGTCTTTACGTTGAGTTAATTAATTGGTTTTTGTGAAATAAATAAAGGATATTCAACATGGTGTAAACACTACAGTAATTTGAACCACTTGCCCACCTTCTAGCTCTGGAAACCTCTAAAGTTAACATTTGTTACTTAGAAAAGAAACTAGCAACCTAAATTATAAGGATATTGTTAAGAATCACAGTAATATAGTCAACTCTGACCTTCTAAAACCACTAGCTGCTAATCTTTTTCGCCTGGTTAAATCATGTCTCTTACAATTTTGGGCGATGACCTCGCAATAATTTGTTAAAAAAAGAAAAAGGGTATGGATAATTTCTGGAAATAAGATACAGTATATGGTGAAGATTTTGACAACAGCTCATAGTCTTATGATCAGGAAAAAGGATATAAGGTAACGACATGCGAACAGCAGTATCTTAACTACTTTGACCCTGACTGGAAAAGTAGATCATTGATAACTGGAAAACATTGGATAGAATAACTCATTTACCGTTATTGGTATATTAGAATTCTATCTTGTGACCGATAATATGTGAAAAATTAAATATACTGTCCAAAAAAATATGAATCAATGAACTGAAAGTCAAAAGCCAAATATGAACGAAGAATATTTTTTTCAATAACTTCTCATCAGGTTCTACAATTATAGAGTCAATTTCCTTAACATACTAATGGTCAGAACTCACAGGGAATACATTTAGGATTTGGTAAGGAATTATAATTAAAATTTGATCCTTTAAGTTTGTGGAGGGTAGTGAAAGTTATATGTGTACGTCAATTGTGGCAATAAGTTGAGTGTAAACTGGGTCAAATGATTGCTGACTAGATAGATGCTAGCACAGCTTGCGTTTCGAAGACTCTACCATTTATCATTTGCTTACGCATTCTGCGTATAACGGAAACTGTAGCTACAAAACCAACTCAGCTTGTACCTTGTATTCAAAAAGAACACTTTCAAGCCGTATTCCTCCTTTGGCCCTCCACTGACTAGATGGTATTCCTTCAACCTTTTTGTTTCTTTCTTAACCTTTCCTGTTCGTTTCTGCTTTCGTCCCTGCTCTTTTCTTTCCTTTCTTTTATGATAAAAACGGAATTATTATGATTGCTATTGTTTTCAGCCAGACTTTCCTCCCATCTTATTATTACAAACCTTCAAAATTCCTGGTAAAAAAGATTTTTTTAAACATTATTACCATTCTTGTTATCTTACTCTTTTCATATATTAAGAGTCTTATGATGACTTCCGCATTACCATTTCTGACCTTATGGTAAATTTGTCATTCTTTGTGCGAATCACCCATTCGACACAACCCAACCTTGAACTTTACTCCCCATACGTCTGTTCACCAATCAATTGACAAAATTTACACTCAACTTATCACCACAATTGACATATATGGATTACTATAATCTACCAACTTAATCTAGTTGTAACTATAACTCCCTACCCATTCTAAAATGTATTCGCCGTAAATTTTGGCAGGTAATATGTTAAGGAAATTGATTTTATAACTGCAGAATCTTACGAGAAGTTATTGAAAATAATATTCTTCCTTCATATTTGACTTTTAACATATGAAATTTGAATTTTTAATTGTCTGAAATCGTAGAACTGAAAGTTAACAAAATAATTCACTTACCTATATTGATGATTGAAATTCAATGTCAGAGTTGACTGAAATATTGTGTATGCGTATTTAAAGGTGAATGTATATGGAGGTTTCTTCGATTATCAGTACTTCTCGAGAAAGCGTAAATTGAGTCTTGTAATTAACCACTGATGACTGTTTTTAACCGAATATAAAGTATTGCCGGTAAAAAAAGTCACTAATTTCCTACACCTATAATTTAATTTAAGGACAAATTTGCCACCAGCCGCTTCTATCTAGGGCAATACTCCTCAGTAGTGATTGCCATCAAACTCTCCCACACTAAGTCTCTCAGTAGGAGAATTTCCACTGAACATTTGACAGAGAATCCAGTTGTCAATGTCAGTTTTTCCCACTAGTAATATCATCGTAGAGGATAAGTTTGGCATCCCTTGACTTCAAATAGATTTTCAATCAATTACCCCTTGTAGCTAATCTTATCCTATGCATTTTAGTCTCGAAACAAAATTGAACTGCCAGGAATAAAATAACTAAAGACAGGATTAATACAGCACACGATGATGGATAATCATTGCCACTTTCAACCCCATTTGAAAGATATAAACAATCACATAATACCAGGATTAATAAAACAGCTTTCGTTCTCTTTAGCCTATTTCACTCATTCTGTTAGGTACGTTTGAATACCCTTGTTCATTAAGTTAACGAATCAAGATGGTCAAGTAGAAGTTCAGTGATTAATTTATTTCGATTCGTCACATAACAGCTTTTAACTAAGGAAAGTAGATTGTACATATGAATATTCGTCGATGTAAATAAATCACGGAAACCGAAATCGAAATTTACATCTAAAGCGATAAAAATCTGGCTACAGGAATTTTCTAGGTCCAAAATACAACCATCTAATTCTTGATATTTTAGTTAATATTATTTGATTAATTTTCTGTTGATGACCAACAATGCGATTTTATCTTAACTTTCAAAATGCAACGAAACCTTATTTTGTCAAACAAAGTCTCAATAGAACTGCACATAAAAATAAATGACTGAATAATTATATTCTTAGATACAGACGGTCTTCAATACTATTGAGTTCAAGTAAGATTAATAATAGCTCTATGTTATGTTTACTGCTCAAACTTTAACTAGTGAAATCAAAAATTATATTAAACGTGTATTGAAATCAAATAAAACTTATAAGCTCACTTTCAAAAACATTGAAACTTGTAAGATAACCATAGACTGGGTTTGTTCAAATTCTTCAATTCGCATATGCTTTGAAAGTGGTACATGCAATAATGATTTACTACGAACTTCTAAGCATTCATACTGGCATTTACAAATCGCCATTATAACCTGCGATTTTGTTAACATTGATTTCGATGAAAACTTTTGAAACATAACATCGAAATCATATTTAGGTATATCTAGTGTACCTTTAGCAGTCAGAAAAATAAAAGTTCAGAAAATGCTATGAATACGTAATTAAATCGTAATGATAAATAATCTACTGAGTATTGGTGATGCAAAAATTCTAGCTATGTGCATATGATAGTTGAAGATTAAAGTAGCTATGAGGAATTATTTACATTTTTAGTGACTTTACAGGGAAACTGATGCATGAATGGCAGGTAGCTTAATATCAACATCAGTAACTATGGAGTATATTCAATCTAGTGTCAAACAGTATCAGCATCTTTGATTAGATAAATGAGTGGTTCAAATCTGAATCTAAGAGGAAGAGTTCATTTCATTAGAAATACAGATATGCTTTGCTAATGTGTGCCTGCTGTTAAGATGACCATGTCCAAGGTACTTATTGACTACTTTCAGTCATTCAACATTAAATTAATGGTCTGTACTCAAACTGTGTGGTAACGAAACAGTTTGCGAAACATTTATTTACTTACTAACTGAACAGAAGTGCTGTGCTTATCACTAAGGATTACGTCATGATCATTGGAAGTGATGAGGTCCAGCAATTTTAATGAGTCGTACTTTGCTCACTTGATAACTGAAAATATAAGTTGATTGAGAGACTGGTGACAACCGTTCCATCCAAATTTGTTAGTAAAATGTAGTGACAAACTATCAGCACCAACCTTACCCTTTACTAATGCTTTCAATTTGCCTGACTTTGTTTGTTGTTTAGTAAAAGGGTGTTTGCCCGTTAGTTACCTATACTCTTACGGCAGTTTGCATAATGAACTGAAATTGTTATTTTATCGAGATTTAAATTGTCTGTTTCAAATCAAAATGCTGTTTAGTTTTTAACCACTTCGTAGGTTTCATCTTTCACAAACAAAGGCCTTTAACTGTTTGGTGTTACCTGCTTGAATACATCGTTTGTAAATCTCTTTTTTGTATCCTTTTTGCATTCAGTGAACACAATCTGTAGTAGCTTCGGCTGTGAACAGATAGACAAAGATTACTTCCTCGTTCAAAACTTTAAAATCGGTATCCCTGAATTATCAAGTGATTATATCACTTAGTGCAGAAAGAATCAAATTTGTGCGATAAGCTTTTGCTTTGAGTTCAGTTTGAGTAGACTCATGATTCAGAAACACTGACTGTAAAATAATGAATGATGGAGGACTTCCAGTTCAGCTTTTCCTAGAGTTATAGTGAAATAAGCTAAATAACTATTCTACAATTAAATACTGGGCCACTCTATACAATAACATCGTTATAATTAGTCTCGTGACGATACCTAGTCAAGTAATCCAGTTCAGTGACTAGTGGCATATGAATCCAAATTCCGATATAGATGATAGATATTTAAACTGAATTGAAGCAAACCGTCATTCTCACCCTTTAAACGACAAACTTTAGCACTTTTCATGAGATCTCTATTGGTTGATATGACAAGCTGAAGTATTTGATAAAAATTGAAAAACACTTTCTAATTCCTTGTCTAAATCTAGTCAGTGACTTGGTACATCTAATTTATGTACATCACTAATTTAAGCCGTTTCAGCATGTTGATTGAAATAAATACGCTGATCAACTAAAAAGAATGTGATAAGTGTTAGCGTCTACCATGTCGCGCTTAGATCAAATGGGCTTTTATCAGAAAAAATGAAGGCAACTGAACAAAAGGGTCTACAGAAGAACTGTTTACAAAGAGACTTTGCAAATGAAAACATGTTTAAACAGACCTGGAGGTGAAGAAGAATCATAAGAAGAAAAACATCATTACAAAAAGAAATGCATTCAGTTACCTTTCCATGGAATTTTACGCTTTTTTATCTCAGGAGGTTGGATGAAACGGTATTGATTTTTTTGTTTTTCAATCAGTTGTCGTAAAATTAAGTCATTCATACTTCGCCAGTAATCAAAAATAACTTCCTTCTCCAGATTCTGTATAATATTATCAACTCTATGAAGTAAATACAATGTTTTAATAAATGATCTTAAACCTACCCTTTACTTTTTTTAATTGAACAAGCGTCATCTTTGGCCAGAAATGTCATCCTTTTTAAAACTGCATTACTCAACTCGCCAATTCCTTCATTTGGCATACAGTCGAGGTATAAGTTGTACCGCAAAGCTGACTCATGCTGTTGACGATCTCTGAAAGCAGTAGCTACACGTTCTGCAAATATATGCGGATCTTCAGCAAGGAACATAAGTTGTATGCGAGGTATCCAGTATTGTGTATTCAACTCTGCAAATGTTCCATTAGGCAACAAACCACCATTCACTATGGGTTTTCCATTGTTATCTAGAATTCGTCCACTGGAATCAAGTTTTTGGACAAACCATAATTTTGAACGTAAATCATAGTCTAGCACTCCAGCAAGTTGCCATTTCCATTTGATCTCAGGATCTCGAATATCCACTGATCAAATAAAGATATTGAAGCACAGAATTCAATTGTAAGTATATTAGGACAACCATAGTGTAGTTATTCTTGTAAAATTACAATACTGAGTAAAGAAAAATGATCCAAAATGAATGAGGTCTACCAAGTCTGATGATACAACAAATTAACTAACCGACAAACAGCTACCGGAAATATCACGCAACACCCGGTTTTAGACTTACCTACAAGTAGCTGGATTATGTCAATTGGTAATGGTTAGCCAAGAAACGTAGTATTCATTTCATTCTACATATTGACCAGTTGAACAAACCTGTCTCCAATAAAGTTATGTTCCTGGTGTAACTCAAACTGAGGATCTCCTACCAGGTTAATTAGTTATAGTAGCCTAAACTTATGAAGCAGTATCAAATATTATTTAGTCAGTGTAATTTTATGCTGTTAAGCCGAATCAAATCAATCTTCCTAGCATACAGGCAAACTTGAAATGTGACCTCAATATGACGATAAAAGTCATTCTCATGTTATTTGTTAGTTAATGACCTGCGTAGGAACTCAGTACACTTGTGTCATCTCATTTCGAACTTGTCAACCAAATATACCATTATTTTAGCAAGCAATGAAGGAAAAGTATGTCTTGGATTCCAAATCTAGCTATAACAGCACAATTCACGATAAAACCGTAGTTTTGATGAAGCAAGTATACAAAAACCTCTTCACACCATGATAGAAAATTTTGATTCGATAAGGTGAAAGTGAAGATATTCGGAAAATAATTTAACTATACTTCAAGTACCAAACACTCATTTTGGTTGCAAATTACTTAGCTAAGCTACAATTAGCTCCTGTTTATTTAAGATTATCATTTTTCCATAGTGGTTGTGTTAGTTACTGATAGTCTTTCTTCTAATAATTTAAAGCCAGTTGGCAGAGAAGAATCAAAAGATGTTTGACTATGTTGAAAAATTGCCAAACACTGTAACAATTTACTGCTAGATGAAATCAATAAACCAGTATCGTGTACATTGTATTTTAGCGTCCTTCAAATATTTGATATTTCACTAATCATGAATAATCAGAGAGTATCAGAATTGACCTTGAATTTCTACACGACTGATTTAATTACTAGGCAACATCATGGGAACTGAAGTCATAATATCTTTGAATAACGTTAACCTTGTACAGAAAACTAAAAAGTTGATGGGTATTTTATTTTTGCATGATAATTTAATCAAGAAGATTTTCTGCTTTTTCCTGCCACAGCTAAAACAATGACCAGTAAAAGTAGATACAACCTCGATCTCTTGGTTCTATTACTTCTTCCAATGAGTACGTCATATTCCTCAATGTATACCACTTTATATGTGTGTGTGGTGACACATACATTGGAAGAAGTAATAAACTAAGAAGCCGAGGTTGGTGGGGCATATCTCTTTTAATGGCTAGAAGAATAATTACATTCAAATAATCTTATAGATATAGGGGGCAGACAGACGTCATCCTCCATAGGTAGAACATCATAGAAAAGGTCACAGGATTGACTCCAAAACAGCCTTTAGACTCTTGTATAGGAGCTATCAAGACCCTATACTTAGGTTTATGGGAGCCTTTTCTATACAAAAATTCAAACTCCCTTTGTGTATTCGGAAACAATTTGTCATTACTTCAATTCTTCCTTGATAATCTTCATTTCATAGTAGTGCCAAGAGAGTTGTGAAAGTGTATTATTCCTTCTTATTATCCCTATATTTTCCGAACCTTGTGTTATCTTAAATTATTTACCCTAGCCCATTTCTATTTTCATCTTTCATAGAAAATGCTTTAACAAGAAAATGCTTGACCAGAATGTTCCAGAGGTATGGGTTTTATGTTACAGTAAATCGAAACAGGGAAGTTGAATGTTATGATTTTAAACAGTCTACACTTTTACCATGGTCAAACACTTGTCACAAATTCGGGGAGGTGATTAGGTGAAACTATCTTATGTAGTAAACGACCCTGAATTATCAAATAACTGGCAAGAACTGTAGTGACACATTCAGGAAAGTAACAATAGCTGTGAAGGATAATACAAAAGTGATAGCAAACTGTATCAGTAATTATCTGAAGTCAAAGATTTGAGGTTGACATAATTTCATGCAAATTTATCATTCTATTTTCCTCAACGAATGCAGTGATGTAGTCACCCTTGATGAAAACGTGTCATTCAGATCCTTAAAAGTTAGATGCATTAATATCTTGAATTTACTTTGATGATCATGATCATGATCAAATTCCTTTTTCACTTACTTTATGTGGACATTAATACAAAACTAGTTGAGTCTAAATCTTTTGGAATTGGCACCTTAAAAATTCACCTGGAAATGTGATGAAAAAAACAGTTAAATAGCATGGAGTCAGTCAGCCAGTCAGTAACATGAGACTTCTTATTACTGCGTAGCAGTTCAAGTTGTCACACCCCATATTGGTACATCAAGCGAGAGTGTTTCAAGGTGAAAGATGAAGAAGTAACTACAAAATGAGTCAAAGCTGGCGGAAATTCGTGAAAAGAGAACCAGGTGACATGATAGAATACTTAAATCCAGTAGAACGATTAAGAAGAAGATAACGTGTGGATACATCTGTGCGACTGACAACAGTTCTGAGCCATGTCATCTAAACTCTCCAAGTATTGGTTTCTTTTGTCACATGGATCCCAGCTAGGAGGTCTACACTCCCTTACACGACTTGAAATAACAGCCAAAGAAGTAATGGAACAATGTCATGTTTTATTTTGACCAATCCCGGCATTTTTCAGTCTGAATCTACTTCAGATAACATTGTGAGATAAGGTAGACGATAACTAGGGATGTGCAACATATTTTATCCACCTGAATGAATGAAGGTTAACAACGCCCCTTCTCTAACAAACTCTCCTCTTATGCGTAAAATTCTACACCTGAATTCCACTTGCTAACGTGTTGATACCATGACAAAACGCCTATGTCACAAAGGTAAAGGTGGTTAAACGTCTTAACCTTTAGTAGTCATATTTCTCAACCATCGAACAATACGGTAGCACCACAAATGATGTAAGTTGCTGAAAGACAATCCTTACAGAGATTTCGTTAGCCACTGACCCAACAGGGATGATCCAACTTCCCAAGTAAAATGCATGGTCGATGCACTCAACCACTTCATTCCCTACTGTAAGAGAAGGTGCCATTGAGAACCAATCCTAGAGTAAAAACTTGCATTTGAGTGGGAAGAAATGCATAGAAAGTATTTTCAAACTGTTGATTAAGGTTAGTTCAGTGTCTTCACTTAGCAAGATCGTGCTATCTGTATTCTCTAGATCTGGAAAGGATTCTACAGTAAAATGATTAATCCCTGTAAATTCAAATGAGAGGGATACCTCCATAAGTACGTCTATGATAAATTTAGATGAGAATGGAGAGAGCAGTAACCAACAATGAGCATCATGACGTACACACCTTACCTCAAAACCATCACACACACACAGTATCGGTGAGAGACACTTCTATAAAATCTCTCAGTCAAAAAGGTCGAATGTCGTCTTCAGGTTGGGGAGTATATATAATTTTGGTAATCGGTAAGTATGCCTGCGTTTCAGAAAGTGGCCAAGGTGGATAACTTGTTGATGTATTGATGACCACGTCTAGAACCTAACCACTCAGTTTTCTCTATTTAGCCGGTCTCGAACTATAAACAAACATCTAATACTTGTAGAATCTTAGACAAAGCTTGTCATACTGATTCTTTTGTGGTTATCAGAAGGTGATTTTTCATCTTTCTTGAAGACTGAGACAGTCAACGTTTGAGACCAGCTAGTAAAAATCATACCTGACTCACATGCGCCAGCTGACAACAGCTAACCTGACCGGTAATCCTCTACTGCTACTCTTCAATGCTTCTGACAAGAGTCCGTTGAAGCCTGTTATCGTTCTTTGTTTCAGATTACCTATAAGTTTTTCAATTTATTCAAGCGTTGGAGACCATATCTCAATGATCCATTCAGGATTCTTCTGGATAGCAAGCAACGAAATAGTAGGTGAAGGTTAACGAGACAGTTTCTCTGAGTGTTCCGTCCAACATTTTAGTCGTCTTCTTTGCTAGTGACTGGCAGATCCATTCTTCTCTGCTTTAGTCTCCTTGAATACCGAAAGTTTCGTTCCACTTTCCTTGATAAGCCTAAATAATTGCTTGGTGTTACCATTATTATTCAGTACAGTGTTCTAGAAGAGGCAAAATTACTTCAATGGCTCACATTTCTCAAGAAAAAGCAGATCTTAGCCATTTTGCAGGCACGAAGTGAACCGATAGTTATAAAAATACCTCCACATCTCGTCATCATACGACAGCGTAACTTGTTTCATTTAAACTGAATGTTGAGTGAGACTAATATCTCACCAGTTTGCCTGCTTAAAAATGCTTGTCTTGCTTTTACTGTTGATAAGCCAGAAGTTGATAATTCAGAAGTAAGTAGAGGAACACCTGCTTTTATACCATTTGTAAATGCAAACAGAAACAATGGGATTTTTGATTAAAAATCTTGTTCAAACGATAACTTAATTCCGTCTCACTGACTTAAATTTAAAGAATTGTGTATGTTCTAAGTTTCAAGCTAGACTTATTATCTGCGGACAAGGTAGACTGCTTAGATTTCAAAGCTTGTAGAAGCGATTTCCGTCTCGAATTGGTGATTTCTAAAGTCAAAGAGCAGTTTTTAAACTAAGGACTCCTAGTTAAAGAGGGAAAAATTATATCTAACAAACTAAAAGATAACAACATCATCAAATCCACCCCAGAATTATTGCACAACTCGTCTATTTTGTGCTTAAATTCTCTACAGTTGGGACCGTGCGACTGATAAGAAGGTAACAAACAACTTGACAATTATCACGTTACTTACACTCATGTTGGTTATCATCTTCAGGTAATAAACAGACAGCAGGAACCGGTTTCCTCACTCCTCCGTCAATTCCAAGTGCCAGCCAATCGGATGGAGTACGACAATCGAACGTTTCATCGTCAAAATATTCAAGTGGCAGATATGATGTCCATTCGCCTTTATCATCTTTGAAGTTTTCACGGAATCTTGGTATAAGATCACAAGTTTGAATGTGGTGTTCGTGCTCTAAAAGCTCAGGTAAAGAGGCGCTTTGGAATTTCCTTTTTTGTCTAAACTTCAAACAGTCTATGTCTTATTTCTCGGGTTACCTTTCAATGTGTAATTTTCTTGGACAATGTGTGGGTGGAGTCAGAAACGGAACTTGAACCTTCGGATCATATGACCTAGGAGGAAAGTCCTTGTAAAATTATGGAAAATTTTAGCTTGATTACGATAAACAAATTAACTTCACTAGTCGGTCCATGGAATTCTATACACGCCTGAAGTGGTTCAGCTATATCTGGATCAGCTGCAATAATAAGGCAACACCTAAAATGCAACTCACCGCATAGTGCATAGCCACCTTCTTTGCTCTGATTTATGATATTTTGATTCCAATATGCAGCTTTGTCTTGTTGCTAACGGATAATAGTTAGTTTTATCAAATCATACGTCATAGTGCTCCGGAAGATAAGAGGTGTACAAATCAGTGTAATATCCCCTTTGTTTGATTCTTGGATAATTGTTCTGCTCGTCATCAGACATTTTCAAGAGGGCAGAAGCAAAGATGATAAGATGTATATTTTTCCGACAACACTCAAATTTTCATTTATAAAAATTCTCCGGAATGTAACTATGACAGCATTTGAAAACATGTAGTTAAACAAAATTAAAATAAACAGAATTCTTGTATTATGCATGGTAGCGCCCAATTTTTTCCACTGGATTCCTTGCTTTTGAGACCAGTAAAATTGCTAGCTGAAAAGAAGGGCATAAAAATTGAGCACAACACTTTCATAGCAAAATGTTTTGAAACAGCAGAAATCTGTACGTTTGTTTGTGTGGGGATTTCTAACATCTATTTTCAAGGCTTTAATGCACCAAATGATTTCTCCTCACTCACCTACCGTAGGTCTAGTAACCGCACAAGTTTTTAGTTATTGGTTTAATCGTAAAAAGATTTGTTCTAAGACTGTACTGCTTGAGTTCCACGAATCTGATGTCGATGGAGAAGGACATGAAGATGGAAAGGACAACCAGGGGAAGAAGGGATGAGAGTTGAGAGAGGAGCGAGCGACAGAAAGCAAAATAAGGGTGATTTCAAGACAGACAGGCAGGAAAACAGTGATAAGGAGAACCTATGTGAATAAGGTTGAGCCGCTGAGAGTAATAGGGAGGGAAAGGAAAAGGAAAGATCGTCTTAGGGATGATTGAAATGGAAACAGAAAAGAACTTTTATGCGTTTAGGTCATTCGGTAGATTTGGATTTGGTAGATTTCTCGGCTGAATGATACTAGTGGCGGTATGGTAATTGGAGAGGTTTGACATTAATGAAAGAGGAATAAGATCGAGTTGGGTTCAGTTGAGAAGACGTTCTTATGAGGCAGGAAACGGCTGGGTTGATATGACATCAGTCGGTTGTTTCTGTCTAGTCCATGTCCTAGCTGTATTGGTGCAAGCCGTCTGCCAAGAAGTAGATGTCAAGGCCTTTCTTGAAGCCTCCAACAGATGGAGTAGGGGCTACATCAGTGTGTAGTGTTTTCCAGTGGTTGCGGACTCACCAGAAAGATTAAAATAGTTAAAACTACGGGAGGGTGTGCTCTTTAATCTAACTTCGCATGTCGCATGCCTAAGACACCCTATGTGGATTTCCCATGAACGATCTCCAGGAAGATTACGTCTCTTTTCTCGTGTGGTGCCGCAACGACGGTGTGGATCTGTGAGTGAGATTGTTCATAAGTCTTGTGAACCTTCAAAAAGAGCTGTAGGGCGAGGGCGCCCAGTTGCTTGCGCATGAATTGCAGTCCTGTATGGCCGATGGAGTCATCTCCTGGATTGTACAAACCAGTGGACAGTTTGCTTGACAGACCCAGTCCCTCAACCATCTCTGTAGTCTTGTGGGAGAAGGTGGGGGAGCAAAATAATGTCTGTGATTTAGGAGTGCAGAAACAGTGGTCCGAACTAACCAAACTTAAAAGCCAGTGTCTTATTTTGGACCCACTTTTCGAACATTCTGAAGTCTCCTCATCAAGGGGTGGCAGAGGGTTGGGCGTGTATCGTTTACACCTTCGGAAGCCACGTTCAGCATCACTTAGTGCTCCACTCCCCTCCTAGTATTTCTTGACATTATTCCCGTCCAGGCTTTCCACCACTCCGATCAGCCAGCAGTTTGGGTTGAGATTGTCCCCCTCTCTGAAAATGGAACCTTTCTAACCTCGCAGAAGTTTGTGTTAACCTAGAGAACGTTGACACAGAGGTAGCCACATAGGGCACTCGTATACAGCTTCAACACAAGCAGCCGAATGCCGTTGCATCCTGTGAATTTCCCTGGATGAAGCTGCGATACTTATTCGGGAAACAGCGAAAGTTACCCGTGCTCTGCGCAGAATTTGTACGCCAGGCAGAGCTGAAGGCTGTTCAGGCCACTGGCATGCTTTGTTGGGTGGCGGCGTGCTGATATGTCAAAAGTGGAGTTAAAAGGTTCATCAGTCTCCATTCCAGAGGCAGTCAAACCTTTTATGACACAAGCTCCCCAGTTAGCGGAGTTTTTCTCCCCTATAAAGCTGAGCACTTTCCTGCCGTCCATCTCAGGCTTCTCGACAAAGTTTGCTTGGAACGATCCCCGATCCCCTGCGCGTTGACGCAGCATAGATTCCTCAGGTTGGTATACGCAGTGCAGCCTGGCTGTTTTGGACAGCCTCCATTTGTGCCGAGGGATAGCTATCTTAATAATATCCCTTACTAGTTCCGAGCAGCGGCTGATAAATCACTCCACTCACTAGGTTAGGAAATCGCCGAAAGACACTGATTCGTCGCCTCGCTGCAGCGAAGACAAAGTCGAGGTCCCTATCATTTCAGCTGTTTGCTGACCAACTGATCAAATACTAAGACTGCTCTATCATCGTTACCAAGGTGAGATTCTATCTGAACGTTTTCTACTGAAAGATGGTCGTGAGTCGGAAATCCGTTCAGCTTTGGTAACTATCCTCTCGAACTCTATTAAGTATTTTCGCTCATCTTTTCAGGCAATGTAGCCTTTTTGATGGGGTCTTGCGGGTTTATGCCGATTTTCCAGCTTGAGCATCCACTGTTCTGCCCTTTTCTGAGAGGTGGGTGCCAAAGTCCCTCACTACGGTGACCTGGTCTCATCTCGCGGTCGGCAGTGCTGATACTGCTTGGAGTGGCCGATAATTCTGTTCCAAGCTTTTAGTGCAGGGTAGACAGACTTAAGATATCACTTATTTCTTGCTCTTGGCTGCTTCATAAATTCAATTCCCAGGTCACCTCAGTTGCATGGACCTGGATCAATTCGCAATGAACGTCAGTCAAATCCCACGTTATCTTGTTTTTCCGCATTTTCTGGATCCGTTGACTTACATTCCGTCATCCTGAGGAGAGAAAGTAAACGTTTTGAACAAACTCTGCTCTAAGGCCTCATGCCACTACTAACTGGCCGCCTGGCTCACTAGAGTACTTTACCGATGGCCCGAAACATCTTTATCTCCCAATGGTTCTCTATAAATAGCTCTTGCACCTCATTCGTCGTGGGACTATCTGCAATGAGAATCTGTTTGTTAGTTCGCATATAGTTGATATGAGCCGATAAAGTAGTCCTTGAAGCCTGCATACTTGTTAAAAAGGTATTTGAAGCAACTCCGCAGATAATGCAGACAGCTTTTCTGGCTTCGGTAGCGGATATATTATTTTCAGAGGAGTTACATTTGGCAAAACGCACTGAAAATTACCCTCTTCACTGGTGCATATGTTTGGCTTTTACTGTTGTAAAGTATTCCAAAACTCTGTTCGCTTGTTCTATTTGACCGAATTTAGATTTGTTATGATCAGGAGCCGCAGTAGCCATAAAGGGGAAAGTCAATAAACTTCTGACATACTTCGCTGTAAAGGACAACTTGCATGGGGTTTCCCAAAAACCTAAACAGGCATTCTCCACCCGGCATCCAAGTTTTGAGCTTGTTCTGTTTGTGAAGCATACCACTGCCTACTGTAACTTCGAGAAGACTTCTTTGTTCTATGCAGTGTTGTTGTCTAGGCCTTCAAAAGGCGTCCGAAACCCATCTTGGTGATTGGAAGCAGGGTCCGTGGCCGGTATTTCGTCCTGGCTGGGACTCATCAGTCGTGTGCACCTGTAACCCAGTGGGTTGCGGTTTTTTCCACCGAGACTCAGTTCCAATACTAGTCGCTTAAAACGCCAGGGAGTGGTCCCGTTGACCACTGGGGTAAGAGCATTGCCTCCCATGCCACGGGTGTCGGTCGTTGCTTGACACTCATAATCCTACGCGCCCCAGTGACCTAGTGGATAACTCTGACGCTCAAAGCGATGGCTACGAAGTTCGAGTCCTAGTGGGCAGAGCATCACTTACTGAGGTTCAGGTAAGTCCAGCCTAGGAGTACCAACTACGACGAAACGGGCGTCCTGAACCCCATTATTGGTCGTCAAGCTGAATATAACATGCATATCCGAGAGTATCTAGTCGTCCACATAGGGAAATTACAGGTATCTAGACAATGTCTGCAAGCCCTTCGTTTCTGAATGCCAAGCGAGCACCATTTAAACTTTAAGGGGAACCCAACGAGGATCCACATGATATCTGGCTGACAGGAGGGACAAAATCGACGGAGGATGCATCCCTAGCAAAGCTTGAATTGGCCAACGTCAGACTAAATATATAGATGTTATCACCTTTTCTTGCTTGGGGTCATTATTGCCTAACCACTATTCCTATTTCCCACCAGCGCTGCAACCGTCAAGACATATAGTTGAGGGTTATTTTCGAAACTATTGCAAGCATGTGTCTGTCAGTGATGCTGTGTCAGGTTACGACTAACCTAACTTTGTCAAGGAAGTAGTTGCAGCAGCTACATATGCTGCCAAACTAATAGACTAAGTTTCAACGGGAATGAAGACTGTCGAAGCTTCCAAAATCGGAAAATAATCCTAGCCTGTAGAATGAGGTACACCTATACTAACTCGTATGCGAACCTGTGCACTGAATCACTTCATTTCCCGGTGTCTCGGTGCCAATATGTGCCTCTTTTATGCTGGGTTATTTCAACCTGCTAGACTATCCCTGTAGATGATAAGAAACAAAAAAGTCATCAACAGGTGAAAAGACCGACGGAGATTCAAGTTTAGTTTGGAGTTCGCCAAAATGTTCGGCAAACCTTATGGGTTGTCACGCCCCATTACCTATAACAAACCGTGTTATGCATTATTCTACAGCCACAGGACCCCCCGAGTAGTTGGGGGCGCACCATTGTGACGCAATAAATGATCTGAAAGTCCCTCCTGAGTGCTCTATCCGACAGGATTGATAGTCGTTCGAGTACTTTCGCCCTCCTTGTAGATATCACCGTTAAACCATGAGCCGCGGAACATTATTCTGTCATTTGCTCATTTTCTTTGACTTAACACTCATTATTTGTCTTTGTTTTGATTGAGGCTCATCACTAATGCTGGACTTTACCATTATATGTTGCCGGACCGTTGGCGGTGCTGTTTTCTCAATCCCAACATTCTGCTTGGC